GTCTTGAGCTGAGGGCACAGAAACAGCAATCAGTTTCACTGCAACCAAGATCACCTTTCATTAAGAAGCATGAGGTTTGATGCAGCAACTGAAATGATTGTCATTTAAAATAGATTACATTAACTGATAGTTACAACTGGAACAGGAAAAAGTTAGAACAGATGTCTCCCTGAGCTCACTGGGTGAGAACTAAAGACGTAACGGAATAGGGTGGGTTTTTAGAGCTTGAGACAATACAAACCCATGTAACCATTTAAATATGACTCTAATGAATTCTGAATAATGCCTGTATCAAGCATATTTACTGTGACATTTTTTCTTACACACCTACCTTAGATGCGTAAGAAAATAGGCCTGTGTAATTCTTTACTGGCATGTGTAAATATGCATGTCTAGTAATGCTAACTGATTAACTGAAAGTTACACAAGAGAGCTTGCATAGCACAATTAGGGCTAGAGCTTTTCAATGAAGGACAGGTGCCCTGGGCCAAACCAACCCCCTAGGCATTCTGTTTCGTATGTCTAACCCAAGAACTGAATTCCTCTAGCTAGAGAAAGGCATTCAAAGCCTTGAGAAAGTACAGGCCTGCTTATCTAGCAAAATGACAGTCATATGTGGACGTGGAAGCAGAAGGAGCAGGGATAAGATATTACAGTTTTTTGTCTTCTAAACTCTGAAGCCATCTAACTCTCTTGCACAACGAGGGCATTTTTTCAGGAAATTCATGTTGGCCCCCTGTGACTGTGATCAGCAAGGTGTGTTTTTTGGACACCCGGGGCTAAATGGCAGAGGGACGCTGGGGTGAATGACTCTTGTTGTGCTGCCTACTTAGACTGACTCAATGTCTGAAAGTATCCAGCTGCAATCAGCACTTCACTCGAAGTAACTCAACCGGTTACCTTGCTGAGCTGGGATGCCATCAGACAAGTCTGCCACGTTGATTCTGCCAACAGCAGATGTTTCTCCTTTAGAGTTTGCTGCATGGCACTCATATTCTCCGGCATCCATTTTGGTCAGTGGAGAAATCTGAAACAGAGGCATGAAGACAGATACGCTGTGTCTCAGATTCCTCTGGCAGTTTGCTATTAACAGTCCAGTTTTCCATTGTGAGAAGGTTAATTGATTTACTCTTAAATGGAAAAAAAATCCAATTTGTCAGTTATGTTTTCACCTTTGTTGTTTACTTTAACTACTAATTTACAAAGTTTTAAGTCTGATACACATATGCATAAACATATAAAACTGCTCTGTAGTCTTTTTGTAATTTTTTAAAATCAGGGACATCTTACTTTATTTTGTTATCATTACTCAGAAAACATTACTGTTTCAAAGAATGTTTTATTAGAGTTTCACATAATGATCTGTAGTAAATAATCAATTGGCTAGCTGATTTTGGAGAGCATTACGTTTTTTCAATTGCTCACATACATCCAAAGAATGTTATAAAAATACTTGTGTTTATAAAGAAAATAACAAAATCCTGCAAATACTTCTGCAGAATACCATTTCTTTGTTCAACAACTTAAATCCTTATAAGGAAAAATCACTGGTAACTAACGCTGATAAAGAATACACTGTATTTTAACAGAGGGTACAGTTTTGATTTTACTATCCCAATAAACTTGAAACAGAAACACCATCATGAATGAAGCAAACAAACAAAAAATGTTTATTTTAGAAGCTGATCTTTGCCACCAAGAGCCAAATGTGAGATTTTAATCCATATAACATTATACAATAACAATATTTTATCTTACAAACTTTCTTCTATCAGTTTTTAGTACCTGTGGTGTACATAAGCTAAATTATGTGTTTTTATGAAGCATGGAAATAACCAGAACTAAAACAGTCAACTGCTGAAGGATATCTGATACAAAAAGTAGGAAAAAAAGAATACATACCCAAAGACTACAGAGGTGACATCTAATAATAAAATCAATAACAACAGCAGACTCTCCACTCTCTATATCCGTAGCATAGATATCAGGACAATACGCTATCTGGTACAAATGTAACTATTTTTAAATTGAGCCACACTCTTGGCGTAAAGCCATTCACTAGTCAACACAGGTACTTTTACATGAATAAACAGCCACAAAAAGTTCATTTTAAGTCAGACATTACTTTTAATAACAATAATAAGGCAAAAGTAATGCTGTCCCAGCTTCGCTAATCACAGCAGTCTATTAATCCTTGATAAAGAAGCTAATGTTTCCAAAAGTATTAAAAAGATTTTATCTTATCTATAAAATCTTAAAAGAACAGCTACTATTTATGAATCTTTGACTCTACATTCAAAACTTTAGAAAATCATGATGAAAGATATTGTGATACTAGAGGCTAACGTTTTCAAAGATTCTGTCTGCTTGTGTTGCGGAAAACATTAAAACCTTAAGGCCTTACTTTAGGGTTGTTTAAAGCTTGTTTAGAGTCTTGTTTTAAACAAGGTCAGTCAACCCAAAAGCACAAAAAGTCTCATTTTCTTAAAGCCACTTCAAAGCCACAGACATTAAGTACAAAGATGTTTCAGAGGTGTCCTCAGACACATTCTTCAAAAAACTAAAACTTCTTGTGAGCAGATGTGGAATTTCACATAAAGGGGTAAAAAACGGAGACAAAATTAAAAGTTACAGTAAACAGGTCACAAGTCTATAATCACAAGCTAATAGCAGTTAACTATGCTGGAGAGTGAACTGACACCAAGAAAATGCTACCAGTCACCTTTGGAAACATGCATGAATGACTGCTGCTTAAAGCGGATCTTAAGAATCTGTATTCTGGGGGAAGGCAAACCTCAAGAGCTCACTGCTGATGTTTTTACACTAGAGCTTGCGGGTCAAGATGTAAAAGTCAAGAATTATCTAAGAGAATAGAGGAGCAAGTGAGTGGAAATATATACTGTATATTCAAGAGGGAATATGGCGCCTCAGATCTTAACTTACTCTGTGAATTAACAACCACTCTTTTTTTATCAGAAGGGTTTACTCCTCTCCCATCACAGAAAAAGAGGAAGCACTAATCCTGGAAGAGGTGTTAGTGGGGCCAGCAGGGGGCGCTCACCCTGCGGTCTATGTGGGTCCTAATGCCCCAGTATAGCGACGGGGACACTGTACTGTAAACAGGCGCCGTCCTTCAGATGAGACGTAAATCCGAGGCCCTGACTCTCTGTGGTCATTAAAAATCCCAGGGCATTTCTTGAAAAGAGTATGGGTATAATTTCCCATTGGCCCTTACCAATCATGGCCTCCTAATAATCCCCATCTATGAATTGGCTTCATTACTCTGCTCTCCTCCACACTGATAGCCGATGTGTGGTGAACGGTCTGGCGCACTATGGCTGCCGTCGCATCATCCAGGTGGATGCTGCACATTGGTGGTGGTGGGGAGTCCCCATTACCTGTAAAGCGCTTTGAGTGGAGTGTCCAGAAAAGCGCTATACAAGTGTAAGCAATTATTAATTATTATTAATTACTAAAGAATTACTTTTTTAGTAGTATCTGTGTCCACTGTTACAAAACCTGCAGGGGACTTTTCAGAACAAATTCACTGTGTTTCTATGTACTCCATTTATTTTTATATTCTCCATAGCAGCTGGTGTGTAAGTGGGATGTTATATAATGTCAAAATGTGAAAGTTAACACTCCCAGCGTTTGGTCATATGAAACATTTGTGTTCAGTTGACAACAGTTCAGTTAAGGACATACATTGCAGAAATGGAAAAACCGCAGTCTTGTTGGGAGAAGGAGTTAAGTTTAGTGTGTTATACTATTTACCCGTGGTCCTCTAACAAAAGGACGAAGACATCCTGACCTACACATGGCAAGAGGAACTGTGGTTTCCAGAGGCAAGTGATTAGTGAGAAGTATCTTTCCAAAAGAACTCAGCTGTCTGTCGTTACACTTCCACGTACTCGAACGCTGAGGTCCTCTTTATTTAACGCACCAAGTCCCCTCTGCAGGTGTGTCGGGTAGCCAGTGAGAGACCGACCACAACACACCTGGGAGCTCTGAGGGAGAGTGAGAGAGTTCCCGAACTAGCCAGAGCTCCAAGACACTTACTGTAAGTGTCGTTGGGCTAAAATCGAAGGACCCCCCTGTACGAGTGACCAGAAGATGAGCCACAGGGGCGGCCACTATAGAGTTGAAACCACTGGTGAAGCTTCTTAGCAGCTAAAGAATATTTTTCTTTTCCTTATTTTAGTTTGCACCATGACCCCCCGTGCATTTTGTTTCTCCCAGAGCCTCCAGGCTTTGTTCTGTTTACTGAATAAAGGGAGTGGCGGCGCAGGGACTCAGCTCAGCCTGTAACAACGTGTTCAAGTTAAAGGAGACTTTCTGACGTGGATACCGCCCGAGACAAAAGAGCCTTTAAGACAAAACTCTTCCTGGCCGGGTTTGTGCGCGAAGCCCACCCAGCGGCGCAGCACTCACCAGAACCCAGCCGGTGACCTCATGCTTCTCTGGCCCGCCACGCGTCTGGATGGCCAGGTTGTCACGGTCACCAGGCAGCAGCTCCATCTTCTCCTGACCCTTGCTCGTAGTTACGATCTGACATCCACGTAAAAACAAGAGAAAAAAAGGAAAGACCTTCACGTGTCACTGATTTAGCTCTGAATGCCATCCTTTTGCCCGCCTTGCAAAACATTCAAACACAGTGGGGCTGTTCACAATTCATCTCAGGATTGCCAGCCAGAGGCCAGGATCTCAGTCATACCAAACAACTTTGACAGGATCCAGATGACAGAAAAAAAGAGACAGTCATTTATTGGTTTGTCAGTCAAAACAAGTACATGTAAATGGAACTTGAGTTGTAATTATTAGAAAAAAAAGTGATTAATTAGACATATGGTTAATATGCAGTAAATACCTTGCAATACCAACAACGTAACCAATGGAGTATGGGACATATGGTGCAGTAAAAGCCATTCAAAACTGGGTACTCAGCTTTAAGGTAGATTTTCTCAAACATGCATGATCCTCATTATAAAATCATAGATACAGACTTGCCACTTTTAAGCATTTTCTCATGACTTTACAGCACTGTACTGTACTACTTTAGTGATTGTCTAATAGAGTGACATTACAGTAAACTTTATTTTATACAGCACTTTTAAAGGTGGCTTCTCAGAGCACTTTTTACAGAACAAATAATTGGTTACACTTATATAGCACTTTTCTGGACACTCCACTCAAAGTGCTTTACAGGTAATGGGGACTCCCCTCCACTACCACCAATGTGTAGCCCCACCTGGATGATGCCACAGCAGCCATAGTGCACCAGTACACTCACCACACATCAGCTATCAGTGGGGAGGAGTACAGAGTGATGATTCCCAATTCAATGAGAAATGTGGACAGGATGCCAGAGTGACACCCCTACTCTTTTCACGAAATGCCCTGGGAATTTTAATGACCACAGAGAGTCAGGACCTCGGTTTTATGTCTCATCCGAAGGATGACGCCTTTTTTACAGAATAGAGTCCCTGTCACTTTACTGGAGCATTAGGACTGCAGGGTGAGTGCCCCCAGCTAGCCCAATCCAGATACTGACAAGGTTCACACCTGCTTAGCTTCAGTGGGTTGTCAGTTGTGAGTTGCAGGGGGATATGGCTGCTGGACATATTATGCTTTAGAGAGGTATGTAGTTCTTTAGTGTTACTGTACACAGTGACCTTTGGTTAACTCAGAGTACTTTCTTGAAAGTCCAGTCATGTGCTGTCTTGAGTAACCTGCAGCTGCTGGGCTGCTTTTGGTGTGTCTGCAGTATGTGTGTGTCTGAGTATGCAGGGGTGGATTATGAGGGACTGCTACATGAACCTTAACAGTGGTATTATAGGAAAGCAGAGAGCTGTCTGCTGTTAGCTGAATAACAAGTTAGTTACTACACCAGGGGCACATCAGACTTCGGCTGTTCACAATATCCTGACAGATACACTACCTGACACACTGTCGGTTATATTAATCCCTCTTGTGACGGAGTTTAGGAAGAGATTGAGGGTGTGGTGTTCCCTTGATCTTAGCAGTATCTTTTTTCTGTTTTTTCATGTGACCGGCTGATATCTACTCAACACAGAAACAAATTGTCCACAAGCACATCCTTGGGCCCCAGCAGCTGTGTACTTTCATCCATCTTCTGTCAAACCAAGACGGTGCTTGAAATTTAGGTTTCTTTTACAAGAGACACAGTGAGGACTGTGTTAAGTACAGAATGACATGATAACTTTGTCTTGTTATAAAGCATCTTCTTAAGCTTTATTCCCATTGGCTTCCTTGGTCAAAACAGAAAGCTGTGCCAATTGACTCTCAAGTCAATTGTGTCTCCTTCCAAACAATTTATACAATTTATACACGCCAGGGATACAACTACCCCGGATGCAAATGGGGTTACCTTCACTCCAGTTTGATGTGGTGTCATTGTTTCCCATTTTATAAACTGCATTGCGACTAGCTAATTTATCATAAGTACGCTCTTTCCACCCCCTTTTAGTTTATCAAACCCTTTCTGAAAACCCTTGACTAAAACCTCAGCAAACAAGTCAGATAATCAAATAACAGTGCTCTGTCCCCCGCTCTTCTGTTAGAAGTGATTGACTGACCTTTTTCCAGGTGAGAACAGGTGTTGGGATTCCTATAGCTTCGCAGCTCAGGTAGACCTGGGCTCCAGTCACATTCCAGATCTCTTTAGGAGGAGTCACAATGACCGGTGCTGCAACGCGAATAAATATTAAAGAGGGTTCGTAAGTTCAACACAAAGCCAATTCTCAGTTTTGCCATTTTGTTTCCTTGACAGCATAATCTTAGCAAAAACTTTATTTTTCTTCAGCAATTTACTGAACACAGGAATGGACATTAAATTCATGAGAAGTTTCCAAGGCGTGCATAAATTTAGTCAGGCATTTTCTTAAACCTGTTATGCATTGATTAGTGCAAGGCATCAGTGCTTTCAAACTTCCCACAGAACCTAAAAGTAATCCATCACATACACTGTAGGCAGACATCAACAGTGTCTCTGAAGCAACTGTTAAAAAATACACAGGAAAGCCAATTTATTTTCACATCTGGATTAAAAGTCCCTTAAAGAAAAATACTTTAGGACCAACTTATTAAAAATTAACATTAAATACTGTTTTTAAATATGAGGCTAATTTATTTATTTGAATATCAAATTTATTACATAAAATATAAGAAATTACACGAGAGAGTAGGCAAAGCTTGGGTTACAAATACAGTACTTGAACTTTTAGTGTAATGAGAAAGGAAGTATTTTACTGGCACATTCTGATCATTCCTATCATGTTTTTTTAGGTAAAAAGTTCAGTTTTTCTAGCTGGGTCATGAGACAACAGAATGAGAGAAGGTCATGAGAAAAGTCTCACATGTTAATTTTCTAAACTGACACTAATTTTCTAAACTACGTCTGTCCATATTCTTCTGTTTCAGACAGAAAAACAGGGTCACCGAGTTCTGGTATGGAATTAATTTTGGGTTGTACATTGTCACTATCTGCCTCATCTCTGAACGGACCCTCCTATGAAACCTGTCTGAAAACACGCAATAGAATAAAACGCATATAACTTCTGGTATATTTTACATTATCATTTGATTGTTAAATCTTTCAGACTACTTAATAGTAAACACTTCTGCCTGCAGGAGGGGCTATCATGCACTATTACTGCCTTAACTTAAAATAGATAAATTAGAAGTAAGTAAAACGGGATAATATAAAATTGACATAAAATTTTGGATAGCTCATTTTGAACAGGGAATAAAGATTCCATTTGCTGCAGTATTTGTCCTCCGTTTGGCACATAAATTGATCAGTTTAACCTACAGTATGTACATCAAGTATAGTTCTGGGTGATAGTCTCTCTTCATTAAGACACCACTGATAAAAATGCACCTCAAATGTCAGTTTATTACACATTTCAATCTTTTAATGGTTTATAAGTAAACTTTGCACTATGGAGTTTCTTCTTTTTGTATTTTTTAATCTTCCTTTGGCATGCTCAACTTTTTTAACCGAGTACAGCACATTACTACAAGCTACAAACGACTGAAAGATTTTTGGACTCACCCTCATAACTAATGCGCTAAAATTACAAATACTTGAAGAGTACATTCAGTGATTCAGTGCCTCAAAACAAAAAAAGGATTTTTTTTGGGGGGGCTGCAAGTCCCGATTTTTCTAATGGCAATCCTTTGAAATCAGCCGGTCTAATTGAAGGGCAAATCGGGAGCCGTTTGAATTATTCCCATGGCATGTGATTTTGCTTACGGGGACTATTTTTACATTGACCACGATCAATTCACTCGCTAATCCAGGACGGGCCAGTCTTTGTCGTTAATCAGGACAGGGTTCAGTGAGCTAGCGGCAGGCTTTGGTTTGAAACAACACGCTCATCCATGTCTCTACAAGTGCCGCAGAGGTATTTGATTAGCACTCTTTTCTTTTGAGGCTCAAAAGCCCTCTAGGCTGAAATTTCAGACAGCATGTCTATTCAAAGCCATGAACTGGTATTCGTGCCATCCAACAAGGCCCACTTGTTTCTTTAATTGCACTTATGGAACCGTTCTTGATTCTTATCTGTGGTCTTGTACTGTCAGTTGGATTTTAGATGATTTTTAGAGTAAGAGATGCCAGTGCAATCGCAGCATTACTGACAGCTGTTACTGTAACACACCTTGTCAGATACACCTGACAAGAGACAGGTTCTACACCATTCTGTGAGGAGAGTCTAGAATATACATGAACTGAATAAAATCAAAATAAAATAATGTCCCCCTTTTTCAATTAGGTATTTAAATGCAATTTAAGAACATAAGAAAGCTCCGTGAAGTTGCCCCTCCAACAGACAGCACAAACGATGAAACCCACCTCATGCGCTAGTGCTACGTTTGTGCTGGTTTGTGTCGCTGTACGTAGCGTTTGTGCTGCTTTTGTTTCCGAGATATAGCGCCTTGGGTTTTCGGGTAATCACGTGACTATCTACGAGGAAGTTTACAGATGCCAACAAACTCGGTACTTTGACTCCTGATTTTCATGAAAACAATGGGGGCAATTTGTTTTCCGAGTCTGTCTGATCGGGTGGGGTGGATGTTTCAATATAGCGCCTTATTTTCCTGGCTGTGGGCTAACTCTGTGACGTATAAAACAGCAAAGCCACGACTAACAGACCTTTCCGTTGTGATCTTTTGATCAGTTGACCCCAGACTTTGCAGCCTTTACACGAATAAACAGTCTTACATTTAGGGAGGAGTTACTATGTTAGTTCATTGGGTTAAGTGTTTTGTTTTAATTTTTAACCATGTTCTCGAACATGTATTGCTTGTGTACTCCTTTCATTAGTGAAGAGACCAGTTTCCAAATTACCACTGGTACAACACGAGAGCCCATATTCACATTTTTAGGAATTAGTTTCAAGTTCGATATAACTTAACAATAAAAAACAAAATTGAAAGCACGAATATAATAATACAATGATCATATACTTTACATTTCTATTCATTTTTGAAGTACAAAGCAGAAGGTGTTTCCCCTACCTTAAATATACGATTACAATTGTTCGAATACCATGTATTCATAATAGAAAGCAGCGGAGACAGTTATATTGCAAATAAAAAAATGTATGTATTTCGAAGATTAAGGGACATTTTGAATCAATAAAGACGTTAAAAAAACAAGCCGATGTAGTAATTTTTCAAATAAGTAAAGCATTTTAAAAACAGATTCTAATTAACAGTAAACAAGCCGATCCAGCTGCCGCTGCTAGCTTCAACAGCTCTCAGACCCGTGGTTGGCTAAACCCCCGAACAGTCCGGGCCGCGATTGGGTGAAGAATCGACACTCTGATTGGGTAAAGCGCCACAGCGGAAGTTCTGTGTGTACTGTGTGTGCTGTATGAGCACACTGGATATGCAGTAACACATCTATTGGATTCCAATTACTGATCAATCGCAGACAAAAAATGTCATGTCATTCCCCCCCGCGCCCATATCGCGACATGAAAGGCCTTATATCGTGATATAACAAAAACTGCCAAGCCCATGTCGCGACATGAAGCCCCTATATCGCGATATGACATACCCCGGCAAAAGTGCCCCCCTATGTCGCGATATGAAAGGCCTTATATCGCGATATAACAAAAACTGCCAAGCCCATGTCGCGACATGAAGCCCCCTATATCGCGCGATATGAAAATACCCCCCCCCCCTCTCCCGACAAAATGCCTCGCCCCCATGTCGTGACATGGAGTCCATATGTTGCGATAGGGCATACCCTGACAGGATATGCTGACCCCATGTTGCACAAAGTCCATATATTGCAACACAAAATCATATATATCGCGACACGTCCTATCTGGGTATATCATGTCCTGATATGAAACCTTTGTTGGGACAGCGGTGCCAGGGTGGCATGGAAGCAAGGCGCCACTCGAGATATACACTGCCACGATATACATGCCTTATACATGGGGCCCCTATCATGACGTGCTGCGGAGGTCTTGTCGCGATGGTATCCAACAGTTACGCGTTTGGCAACAGCGTGTCAAGCTAATCGATCCAACGATTTAATCCAGCCATTTCTTGAAGGAAGCTTGTCCCATACTCCCACAATCCTTTGTGCAAAGAAATGCGTTTCATTCTTGGTTGTAAACGCACTTTCACATAGTTCCCATGTGTGCTCTCTGGTTTGTATTTCAATTTCCATTCGATAAACTGGGCTGACTTTTTCTCTCAGAACATATTTAGAATTTTTGTGTCAGGTCTCCTCGTAGTTTTTTTTTTTCAAGACTAAAAAATGTCAGTTCTTTTAGCCCGTCAGTGTAGCACATTCCCTCAAGCCCCTGCATGCATCTAGGTGTTCTTCTCTGGACTGATACCGGCAGAGCAATATCTTTTTTTTTCTAACTTGGTGGCCACAATTGCACACAATATTCTAAATGAGATCTACCGACTGCAGTGTACATTTTAATATAACATCCCATTATTTAAATTATACATTTTTACTTTATATCCTAACATTTTGTTTGGCTTTTTTATTCCTTTCCCATATTGTCTAGAAGATGTAGATGCTGTGTCAACAGAAACAGAAAAGAAAAGTCTTTTAGAAAAGTAGCATTTTCAATCTCAGAATTTTCCATTTTGGGCTAATGCTTTTACTAACGTTTGCAAAACTTTGCTTTTGTTAACACTGATCATCAATCGGGCATTTATCCAGTATTATATTTCGATTTCATCTGCTTCTACAGTGTATACAAATCCTGTTCACAAGTGTCGCCACTGGGCTTTAAATGATGTTGAACTGGCTGGGGTGGTCAAACTTTTACACAGCACTGGTTTAAATGATGGCTAGAAACCAGACCAAGCTGAATTTCTGCTAAAGCAAAGGACGTGAGGAGTGTTTCACACCTGAGACGGGACAGGAAGGAATGTGAGCCGATTGCTTCGCGTGTATGAAAGCGAGGTCCGCTTGCGTGCAATTCAGATTCGGGGCGGAGGGAGAGTGAGATCTAGGGAGCTGAAGGGGCAAGGGTCCTCTCACAGAAGACTGAGCTCAGAGTAGCTAGAGCCTATCCTGGCAAGCAACGGGCACAAGAGGTACACCCTGGATGAGACTCCAGTCAATCGCAGGGTACACACACACAGACACAGGCACACTCACACTCACACAAGGGTCAGTTTTCCCAAAGGTCTATTAACCTAGAAACCGACTCGGAACACAGGGTGAACACAGAGAAAATATACACGCTAACAGAGAAAATACAAACTAGGTGTCCGTGTTCCTGGGACTTGCATTTCAAGCCACTGCGTGTATTCAGTCTGTGAGACTCCCTGTTTGACAGCTCGTCGAAGAATGAATTTCTACGATTTCGTGCACTGGACACGTTATCAAGAGGGCTTTATATTTGAGCACCAAATATACAGCGACGTACAAATAATTGCACTATAGAGCAAATTCATTGCAATACTCATACAGGTGGATGCTGCACATTGGTGGTGGTGGAGGGGAGTCCCCATTACCTGTAAAGGGCTTTGAGTGAAGTGTCCAGAAAAACGCTATATAAGTGTAAGCAATTATTATTAATTATTATTATTAATTATACTATTTTGGATTGTGGGTTGAACTGTGGACTCATTTATCTCATCTAACCAAAACATTTTTACGCGTTACACCTTTTAGCACACCCCGAAATGAATCAAAACAGTTCGTTAGCGGAAAAACGGTGGCCTCGGAGCAAGTGGTGTTGCTACTACAGAAAAAAAAACACTACCTTGTCGAAATGATTTTCAGAGGAAAATGTGTAAGAAGTGCTATAGCCGCAAAGCGGCAACTAAAGTATTGTCTAAATACGGTCTATTCCGTATTTACTACATGCAAATTAACTGTATATTGCCAAAAAAAGAACGCAAGATATACAGGCAACATTTCTAATATATTGTTTTAGTTTCAAATTAAATTTCAATATAATATCTCGCCAACATAATTTGATTTTTACATTGTCTTTTTATTCGCGTGACCTTCTTTTCCCGCTTTTAAGAATTATAGTTTCACAATACAATACCAGAAAGACTAGTGCAAAGGGCATCAAAATACATGTTTTAATACATAAGACCCCAGTTTAGAATTTCCGTGATTTATATTACTTTAAGTAGAGCTTAAGGTTTTCAGGGGCTGGCTCAGTACTGTACTCCGGTGGGTCGTGGGATTATATTAGACTGCTGTTGTACTGTTGAGCAAAGGAATTCACTCAGATTGCTCCACGAAATGCTCTGCTCTGTTAATCGGTACTCCTATCGTTATTGTCAATGTAAATTTGTTCTCGATTGAGTTAACAAATAAAAAAATGCTAATTCCTAAACGCTTGTCACAGTGGTGTAAATAAAGGTCTCACTTGAATAAATAATACAAAAATACAATGGATGGGGCATCTTTAACATCATTTATCGAACAAGGAAGACATTCTCTCACCTTTTTCGCACTTTCCTTTATTTAGCACCTTGATCTCGGGTTGCTTCATGCTTACGGCTTTCTTGCTGGCCGCTCCGAGGTCACAGCTGTTCTTGTAGGTGACTCCGTCAGTGCCGCACACTTCGTGGGCGCCCTTGCAGGCACACACCCCGGTTTCTCCCTTCCTGCCCTTGCCGCTCTTCACGCACTCCATCCCAGCCGCGCAGCGCCTGGAGGAGCTGCCGCGTCCCCCGCAGGGATCCCCCTGCCCGGCAGCGCAAACGGCACAACACCCGCAGGAGTCCTGAACCGTGCCCAGCTCGCAGCCTCCCGCCGGGAGAGGGGCGCAAAGACTGGGCTGGCACGGAGCGCAGCCCCGGGTACCACGGTTAGATACCGTGGCCGAAACGGACATGGAGAGCACCAAAGCAAAAAGCACCAGCATATTTAAATAACAGGAACCCCTGTGCTCTTCTCTTACTCGTCAATATCCACCTCGCAAAATGAGGCGACAGTCCTCTACACCAAAACTACACTAAAGCTGCTCCCCGCCCACTATACTTAATCGCACCCCTTACAGTCCAAGTTTAGCTCGCTGCTTATTGCTTAATTTCCCGAAAATATGTAACAGTTATAACATATCCTTCTAATCCAGTACAATACTTAAATTGGCTTCCTAATGAAGATAATGCAATATGTGATTTTATAAACCTAGTTTAGTTTATTTATTTCTAATACATAAATTATGTTTTATGAATTTTATTTCACGCACATTTTATTACCGCTTTCACTGTTTCAGTGAAACATTTGTAGTCAGTTAAGTTTCTTAAACTCTCCCAACACAAGAAGACAGTTGGATGTTGAACAGAACCGCTCAGTTCAAGAATAAAGTAAAACACAGAATACCAGTTTAATTTCGAGAACGAGAACAAAGACGTTTTATCTTCAAAATCGAGGATTGATTGAATTTACACTTTACACGAAAACCAAACACCTTTAAAGAGGTGTGCTTGTGGAAAAAAAAAAGGTTATTTTCTTAAGTATCGTTTTCTGGGGGAAAAAGACATAAAAAAGGACATGGAATATCCCTAAAGGTCTTATCATGCTGGACAGTACTGCAAAACTAAAAGCATTCTCATGTGAAACTTTTTGTTTAGGGATGGGAATTGGTCAGTTGCCAAAAATTCCAAAGACGCTGAATCTCTGCCTCTCTCAACAGCTAGCTTCCTTGAGTTTTTACATTATGTACTCAACACACATTCCAATCCATTCAACACTCCCACATGAATAAAATGTCTCCTGCAGTAAAAGCTTTCCAGTCTTCCATGGTATTAACATACCATATACAGGTGTTGTGGAAATAACGTCAGACTTCCACCAAAGCCAAACACAAAACCCTACAGAGGTTTGGTTTTTTTTTTACTTTCGTGAGGCTTTGGCCTGTTGAATCCTCAGAAAATTCCAGATTTTCTGGATTATTTTTCGAGAGGGATGCGTGTATTCCACTGGGAAAGCCAGCTCCGCAAGAGTTTAAAACCAGGAAATGAATCGCACGGCAGAGCGGTCCTCCACAGAGGCCCGGCGTGGCCCGGCACCAGGGCTACTTGAAGTATTTGGTGACAAAGGCGGAGGCGAGGTCTCTGTACGGAGTCTCCGAGTCGGCCCGGCTGGGGGGGATCCGGCAGATCCTGCGGAAACGCGGGGAGCGCAGCAGCAAGTTGTGCCCCAGGCCAACGCAGCTGGAGCTCAGCCAGTACAGGGTCATGGACTGCAGGAGAGGAAGCACACAGGACGTCAGACTAAACAAGAGCAGCAGCTTGGACAAACAGAACACACAGCATTCAGGGTCAGACGTCACTGGAAGAGCAAGACAAGCTCAACACGGAAGAGCAGATCACAGCGTCCTGGGCGCACCCAGTTTAGGAAAACAAAGTCATTTAGCCGACACCGGTCCAAGGGCACTCGTCTGCGGAACAAAAGAAGCATAAAATGCTACATGAAAACTCATGGAGAAGGGTAAAAACAAAATAAATCAGTTAATACATTCAATTCACGTTATACGATGATCAAACCAAGGTACAGAAATGATTAAATGACCAAAGCACAAGGTAGAATAACTGAAGTAAAAGGTAACGCAAGACACCAAAACTGTACTGCAATCTAAGGATAGAGTCTAAAGAGGAAGAGGTGCCTCCACACTTGACACGCCCCCTGTGTAATGCCACAGTACTGTACACCCCACCTGGATGATGTGACGGCAGCCATAATGCACACGGTACCTCAACACACATCAGGTTTAATGGGGTGGAGAACAGAGTGATGAAGCCAGTTCATAGATGGGGATTACTTGGAGGCCATGACTGGTAAAGGCCAGGGGGAAGTTTGGCCAAGACTCCGGGGTAACATCCCTACTCTTTCCGGGAAACGCCCTGGGATTTTTAGTGACCACAGAAATTTAGGACCTCGGTTTTACGTCTCATCCAAAGGACGGCACCTTTTTACAGTCCCTGTCACTATACTGGGGCATTAGGACCCACACAGGCTGCAGGGTGAGTGCCTACTAAGGGCCCCACTAACACCTCCTCCAGCAGCAACCTTAGTTTTTCCCAGGAGGTCTCCCATCCAGGTACTGGACAGGCTCACACCTGCTTAGCTTCAGTGGGCTGCCAGTTGTGAAAAGGCAAAGCATACTGTGTACTGGCAAAATATATATATAGGACTAAGTATATATACAATTAGCAAATTACACTGACATCCAATATCTTGTACACATAACTATCAGTTTGATCCGTTGAAAACTGTTACGTTCCTCATCCCTCCTCTAGAGGGCGCTCCACCCCTTCTAGTTATCATTAGTTTCTATTATTTCCTGGAGCATCTCGTTTGCTTTTTAGTTAAAAGCCTCGCGTCTATGCAGTTACAGGCTCAGTACTGGAATATGGACGCCACATGGCTTGCCTATTTTCCGGGTTGTCTGATGGTAAGCCTTTTCCCCGGCATCCTGACTGCCTGGTCCTGTTATGTTTTTAGTTCCTGTTCCTGTGCCGGTTCCGACCCAGTTCCCGTTTTTAACCGTTTGTCTTGGATGGATCTCCCAGCTCTTGGATTAAGGACCGCGCCCCGACTTCCCTTTTGGATTTCCTTGGACTTGGTTGCTTCCGCATTTCCCCCGTGCACCTGCTCACTACAGTCACCGCCCCCTGCTGTGTCAATCCATCCTAACCCCGTTGTACCTTCCTCCGTCGTCTTTTACGGATTATACCGTCCGCATAGTGTCTTTAATAACGCACTCCACGGGAGTCAAAACCGGCTCTCGTGACAAAAACAAAAACACATTACTTGTAATTCATCAAAACGTGACATTATTGGTGTGGGAGGTGAAGACCTCCAAAAATAACTGTGCAACACTCAGCACTCGACCCCACAGAGACTCAGTTCTGGAACTCAAGAGGGGAATGTCATACTCACCGAGGGCACAGTAGCTGCAATTGGTATCATCACCAACGAAATCCCACGGATAAAATTGGTGATGTACTTCTGGAACCTGGACACTTCAGTTCTCCGTAAAGAGAAAATCTGAAAGGGGATGAAAAAAAGAAAACTCCATCCAGCACGTGAACATTTATCTGGATATTAAAAGGAGATTCGAGTTTCCCACAAAAGAATAGTGACACTGATCTATCCATCCATTTTTAACTGCTTCTTTCAATTCAGGGTCACAGGAGCCGGAGCCTATCCCATCAAGCAATGGACACAAGGCAGGAAACACCCGAGAAAAGACATACGCACACACAGACAAACAAGGGCCAGTTTTCCCAGAAGCCAATGAACCGACCAGTATGTCTTTGGCCTGTTTTAAGGAACCAGAGCACTTGGAGAAAACCAACCCATACAAACTAAGGGAGCACATACGAACTCCACACAGACAGCACCCCAGTGGAACCCAGGGCCCCAGTGCTGTGAGGCAGCAATGCTAACCACTGCGCCACTGTGCCAACCTCTTAATATCATTATACAGTTCAGACATAACATAGTTTGATTTAGTGGTGGAATAAAATCAGGAGTCTTGTCTACACAGATTAGAAGATCTGTCCTTTCTCCTTTCATTTCCTAAGAAGGAATGTTCACTAACTCTGTAAGGAAACAAATTAGTTGAATCAGAAAAGAGTTGTTAGGCTTGATGGGGTTAATGTAAGGTGCTGAGTATCCTGAGTGTAGGAAACATACCTCTACAATGATCAAGTTGACCAGTCCTAAGGAAACTGGCATTATCCAGGTGGGATCAGGCAGTGTGAGATCAGGAAACCAAAGGGCGCCCCCTGCTGCGAGCTCTGATTGAAAAGCTGTGAAACAACCAAAGATTGGGGTTTAAGAAAGCCGAAACGTAATGAGCAAAGCTATAGCATTTACTTGACATTCCCACATGTGAAGAAAGGCTTCGCTCCATAATATCCCCGAGAATGCATTTGCATGCATTTTTCCACAGTAGCAGTTTTTGCCCGTTTTGCGATACAGGTAGGCATCTACACACACATTGAGCAGTATGAATGAAATGCAATGCCCCCAAGTACCTCTAGAGGAGTCGCTAACTCCCAGACTCATGTTGCGCAGAGCGAGCGACAGAAACACCCACATGGGGATCTGAACCCAGATCAGGAGGCTGGCTTTCACCGGGTGGCAGTTGTCTCGCACGTATAGTTCAGACACGATGCGGCGCAAGTTCTTCCTGAAATGGTACCTGAGCGACAGAGAAAATGGGTGTTACTCTATGTCCAGAACAATTTAGAAAACCAGACGGGCCCTCCACACTGGACATGAGAAAAAAAAAAACTAAACTGGAAGTGTTTAATAAAGTAACAATAATGCTATCATTTATGAAGTCGACTTTCCAAGAGACAAGTTTCTGGCAATGTACAATCAGCAAGGTTATGTCACAAGAGTGTAAAATTCAGGGGAATAAACAGCAAATTACAATGAAAACCACAACTGCCTGGACTGTGATCAATTTATGAAGGTTGGGTTTAGTCAATTAAATTATTTGGGATTTAATACTGAATTATACAATGATAAGCAATGGAAGAATCACTTTAAAAAATAAGAAAATAAATAAAATGTCCAACTACCTGTAGAAACCAAGAAATTCGAGCCTGAAGTGTTCATTTGTCCAGCCAAGCTTTATTGTATGCATACAAGGAACCACAATAAGCACCATAATAGTTATAGTACCGATTGCAGCTCAAAGTGGATATGGTCCTACAGAACTTATATACACACGCCCCCCCCCACCTCCTCCTCCCCCTCCTGTCTTTGATGTAACCGAAGGAAATAGAAACCTTCCTTTGTCATCAGGTGTTTAGTGTAAACATTTACCATCTGGGGGGATCAAGGGGAGAAAGCCTCTGTGATCAAGCAGGCGTGACGGTTACAGCTTAGCATGTAAAAGCCATTAGCAGGCTCCATCATACCTTATAAATTATCTAACATACCTATTGATAAGTTCGACTTAAAAGGAAAAAAGAGGAACATTCGTATTCCTGCAGCACCTATTATTTGTATTTCTGTGTGAAAGTTCTCAAAATGTGACTGGATGTTGCTCTGATTAAAAGCAATTTGCTGCCGGGGCAAAAAAATCTTATGAAAACCTCTGTGATGACACCACAGGCATCACATTGCTGGGATTTAGGACACTCTTCCTCAGCGTAAGCCACTACATTTTAATATGCATTTGTCATATTTGTGAAATGTGTGTCTGTATTTGTGAAAGCACATAGCATGAGCAGCACACACTGCTCGGCTATAATCTTCAGAGTTTTATTTGCATTATATCCCCTCAGCTTGGAATGCACCTAAATAATGCGGACCTGCGTATATGCTCCTCCCATGCGTCCAGCTGTCTGAGCCATCGACCATTTCACATGCTGCTGAGCTCACACTTCCTTCCTGGAGCATTCGCAGCCATTGGACGAGACATGTGTAGCTGTCTGACATCACCATTGGCAGGAAGCAGGAGCGGAGGTATTCCTCTAGCCAGCTCAGGGCAGCCCAGCCACTGTGAACTTCTACTTGGCAGTCCTTATGCTGAATAAGGCTCAGTCATAAATTGAACAGTATACGGATCTGCCTTGATCAGGAAAAGGCTTACCCATTAAAATGTGATCTATTTGCTGGATTTGTTTAATATTAACACATATGGTGCTGTTAAACAAGAATGAGAAAAGGTCAAACAGTAATCTCACATCTCTGCTCTCCCACTTATAATGTGGTGCGTGCTGCCCACAGCTCTGTGAGCACCTTTTCTACAGGTACATCTTCCTCCACAGCAGCTCCCTGTTTCATTCCTCATAAGTGAGAAAAAAGGGTTTCGGCAGAACTGACCAGTCATTTCCTCAAGTTAATGCTGAACACTAAAGTATTGAGATGCTATTTCAAATCGTCACATTTCAAATTTGACCAAACTACTGAAAAGCCCATCACTGAAAAGAAAGATTGAACAGAATGTATAAAAAGAGATTTGATATTTATTATGAAGTGCCATATCTAAAAACCTTTACAGCAAACCAATTACACAGTAAACTTTTCTTATTTGTAATAAAAATCCCAAATGGCTTTAATTACTGGAAACTAAAAGTACCACAGAAAGGCTTGAACAAACAGAAATCTTACCAATTTACAAATTAAACAGAGGAACGATTATTACCACAGACTAAGATAAAATTGTAACATGCTCTTTCAATGGCTTTTGGTGTCAACATGCAAGGCAATTTCTTACCGAGCGACTTTCTCAGACCAGCCCAGCTGTTTGGCCCGGACGGAGACCTCATATCGTAGACGCTTGGCTAGCTCTCCAATTTCAACTTGCAACGACTCAATCTGGCTGGTGAAAAGACCGAAAAAATGTTACATTACCTGGAAAAGCTTTTTTACAGTTCCAGCAAAATCTCAGCTTGTAACATAGCAGGGGCTTTCTATAGGTTCTGCTGTCAAAGGTATATAAAAAGAAATAAAAATATTTCATGACATTACAGTCACCCTTTATTGTTACATCCAGCCCACTTCTGCTTCAGAAACAGAACAGAACAAACAGTATTCTGTGTTAAACCTAGAGATCTTCTTAACACAGATCAGATTCCACATCCTGAAACCTTGCCTTTAAGATGGCACACTGTCATACAGCAGAAGGACACTGACTGTCAAGCAGCTCCCACTGTTTCTTGTAAATGGCTTTATGCAGCCGGGCCAGCAAGTCAGCGTAACATTGACCAACAACTGCTGTTCTTTGCAGCTAGTAATTGCTTTACATTAATACATCTGCAAGCCAACTTAAACTTTGATTCAGTTTCCGCAGCAGAGTCTGTTTCTGGACTGGTTGCGTCTGAGGATCATCCAGATTCTCTGGCATTTTAAATTCCTTCAACTACGGAGAAAAAGCAAGGGGCAGGCTCCCCTGATCGCAGCAGTCATGTCTTCCCTCCTTTCATATGGATGGGCAGTTTCCCTTAAGAGCATGTAGTGCCCTCAAACAGCAGATTATGTTGCTGTCAACAAGGAGCTGTGAACACTACAGAGTGCACAAGCTCTTCTTGACAATCCTCACTGTAGTGGAGTTAAAGTCAATCATTTACTATCTGTTCTCCCTCAGCCAGGACTGCAGGGGCCTAATTTTGCCCTCTTTGAGAGTTTCCAATCAAAATGCTGATTACAGCCACATCACCCTGCAACTCACAACTGGCAACCCACTGAAGCTCAGCAGGTATGAGCCTGGTCAGTACCTGGATGGGAGACCGACTGGGAAAAACTAAGGTTGCTGCTGGAAGAGGTGTTAATGGGGCCAGTAGGGGGCTCTCACCCCACAGTCTGTGTATGGTCACTATACTGGGCCACTATTCTAGTGCTCCAGTATAGTGACAGGGACACTATACCGTAAAAAGATGTCGTCCTTTGAATGAGACATAAAAGAGAGGTTCTGTGGTCATTAAAGTCCCCGGGTGTTTCTTAAAAAGAGCAGAGATGTAACCCTGGTGTCCTGGCCAAATTTCCCCCTGGGCTTTACCAATCATGGCCCCGAATAATCCCCTTCTACAAAGTGGCTTCTGTTCTCCTCCCCACTAATAGCTGATGTGTGAGCGTTCTGGTCCACTATGGCTGCAATTGCATCATCCAGGTGGATGCTGCACACTGGTGTTGGTGGAGGGGAGTCCCCATTACCTGTAAAGCGCTTTGAGTGGAGTGTCCAGAAAAGCGCTATACAGTATATGTGTAAGGAATTATTATTACGGACATATTCAAAACATATTAGTAAAAATGATGGGTTCAGGCAAAGTTTAAAGTTGACACGGAATGCTGGCTTTGAAACAGACCTTTGCTATGATGGCCATCTGGTAGGTGCCCAGGGGCAGAGTGACGGCCGTCCTCAGGGCCACCGTGGTGCAGGCGATGCTAGCCCACCATGGCAGCCCCGTGGCCTGCTGCGTCACCGCCAGGAGCCCCTCCGTCAGGTGGACGGGCGCCGAGTCCGCGAGGCTCTCGTACCAGCTGGGACCGGCTGAGGCAGCCGAAGCCGCAGAAACCAGGCCCCTGCTCTGCAGCACCGCGCTGCCCGGAGATCTGGAGAGACGGACCCCCTCCCTGCTGGGCAGTCTTTGGTCATGGCAGGAGGCAGTGCAGGCCATCTTTAACGCCCTTCTTGTGCAGGGCCTTGGAAGTGCAGCCATCAACAGGCCGGCTCTACTCTGCCAAAGCATGAGGCACGAGCTGAAAGAAAAACATGGGCCAGATAAAACGACTGTATTTACCCTTCCTAGAAATGCCACGTTTACGATGACGACATTACTACATTAGATTAGCCAGCTGTTACATAACCCTGCAACTCACAACTGGCAGCAGGTGTGAGCCTGGCCAGTACCTGGATGGAAGACCTCCTGGGAAAAACTAAGGTCGCTGCTGGAAGAGGTGTCAGAGAGGCCAGCATGTGGCGCTCACTCTACTGCAGTCTGTGTGGGTCCTAATGTCCCAGTATAGTGACGGGGACACTGTACTGTAAAAAAGGACCACCCTTCGGATGAGAAGTAAAACCGAAGTCATCATTAAAAATCCCAGGGCATTTCTCGAAAAGATAGGGGTGTTACGCCAATGTCTTGGTCAAATTTCCCCTCTGTCCTTTACCGATCAAGGCCTCCTTATAATCCCCATCTATGAACTGGCTTCCTCACTGTTCTCCTCCCTGCTAATGTCTGATGTGTGGTGAGTGCACTGTGCACACTATGGCCGCCATCTCATCATCCAGGTGGTTGTTGCACATTGGTGGTGGTGGAGGGGAGAACCTATTACCTGTAAAGCGCTATATAATTTGAAGGAATTATTATATTATTCGTTTTTAGTTTGTCTCCCTTTCAGCTACAGCATTTGGAGCAGGCAGACATGCTTGGCAACAACATTATTTTACATACAGGGAGTTTGGTAAAAAAAAAAGTGCACTGAAGATCAATAACAAGATGTTGTTCTTTACTCTAACTGTTGTGGAAGTGTGGAACAAACCTTTATGTTGTTCAACATAAATATGTTAAGAAAAATTAAAAATGAAATGAGGGAATTGCTTCAGTTTTAACAGAATGGCTGATTAGTTTATACTCCGAATCCCAACTCAGGCTCTTGATTTTAGACACACCTGCCCCCTCTGCTTCATAGGAACAATGGGTTTATTCTATGCTGAAAAGAGAAGAAAGAAAACACAGCGTTTCGGCCGTGAAGCCTTTTTCATGTGTGAGGTTCCACGGCCGAAATGTTGCGTTTTCTTTCTTCTCTTTTTCAGCATGGAATAAACCTATTACTTGTTCCTTTGCAGCCTACCCACCCAAACCTCCTCGGCTTCACGTTCCCTTGTTGATTTGGAAGAAGTCAATGTTTTGAGGATATTAAATTCTTTAATCAGGTTACCATATAATCGTCTCTGTTCAGGACTAAAAAGGCTTAGTTCTTTCAGCCTGTCAGTGCAGGAAATTCCTTTGTCTCGGAATGTAGCTGGTTGTTTTTTTCCTGATTGACTCCAGAGCGCTAATGCCTTATTTTCGTCTTGGCGTTCGTACAAAAATAAATGGACAAATAGACGTTACAGTAATAACAGGTTATATTTTATTAGGGTTGTATGACTCACAACAGAAAGGCATGACCTGTTCATTTTAAGTCGTTTGCATATTTCATTATCATAATATCGTTATCATAAAGAATCGATTCAATTTTGGTCCGTTACAGTTAACTGAGAATTGTTTACTGTTTCACTGCTATCACCGTGGTCCTTAGTATTATTCTTCCAGAATTAAAAAAACAAACAAATAGGGGTTCGTTTTAATCATTACATAGCGATCTTAGCTGTGAGGCTGGAAATATCATGAAGGTCATGAAATGAATGAAATGAAGAGGTACCTTGTAGTACCGTTTGCATTCTGAAACCCCAAGAGTCATTCGAAAACCTTAGTTTAAAGTGAAAAGTAATACAGATGTTGTTCTCATAAACAAAATACACTGTTGTATAGTTCTACAGCAAATATTTAAAGCACATTTACCTTTCCGTAGTTTATGGTGTACGGGTCGCTGAAATATGACGTCACAGTACGCCCTTGCTCCCGGCATGAGAGGAAAATAGGTTTGTGCTGAGTTTGCTCGAGTGATAGGCATGTGACTTCGCTGACTTGCTTACTAGTTAACTGTGTGATTACGGTTTTGTACCGCTTTATTTTTTTCTGTCAGCATCATTAGAGAGGAAATTCGTTTTACACGGTAAAGTGTATTTTTAAATAATTTGTAAGATATGTGTGATTTGATTGCGTTTACTCCAGTTTTTTACTGGAAAGGCACCGGGATAGGGTACAAAAATGTAATTTATTTTAAAAGGTATTTTAAACATACTTATTATCAGAAGTAAGGAAAAACTACTATCCAATATGCAAAAAAGAGCAATGTATCTTTGTTTATACAGTACAAAGCGCTATATAGGCTTTATTTATCAACAGACATAGGTGATATGAAAGACCGGTGTAAAGTTAGCTTGAAGTTCGAAAATGATTTTGACACACCTGTTGCGTTTTCACGAAAGCTCCTAGAGTTACGAAAACACTTGCTGTGTGTACAAAGTACATTGTGACTGTTTTCACAGCCTTCACTAAGTCGTTTTTATGCACTTTTTTTGACCACGCACGAATATTCTTATGGCCATATCTTCGCAAGGGAGACACAGAAAGCCTTGTTAAATTTGTTAAATAAACAAAGAGCTCTACTTGTTAAATTTTTTTCACAGCCCCCACATAAAACCATCGGTGAGCTTATTCTCTTTTACGCACTCACTTGAACCTGGGGGACCCCTGTGTACACACGTTCACAACGCGAGAAATACTGCTCAATGCGGCTTCGTGCGAACAACCCGTATATGACCATAGGAAGCAGCGCAGTCTCCAATCACCCAGACTGTAAGCACGGGAATAAAGCTTTGTTTGATTTCTGAAACCCTTTCTTTATGTCCTGTTTTCATTCAGGTAAGGGTCAGCTATATACACAATACTGCTGACAGCGGGAAAATTCATATTCTTTACTCAACAGCTTATTAAAAACAGCACCCATGATGTTCAAACCGATTTTTTTACGCAGAAGACTGACAGCTTTGCGTTGTGAATCTCTTTTTCTCGTGCTTTTATCTAATGTGGCACTAGGCACTGTGATAGGGGGATGCTGTTCACAAACCAATAGCATTTAAACTACAGCACCCACAATGCTGCAAGTAAGTGTTTTACACACTAAGCAGGTCCTCTGACCCTTCCAAGCCTTGCTTTGGGTTGTGTAACCTCTTTTAGTTTTTCAATATGGCACCATTAGACATGCAATACACTGGGATAGGGGGGTCTTCTTCATGACTCTAGTTTTTTAAGCATAACATTCACAATGCTGCAACCAAGTGTTTTACACAGCAGATAGCCCCCCTCACCTTTATACAACCTTGCTTTGGGTTGTGAAACTTTTCTTTATTTTTTTTTTATAATTGTTTCAATATGGCACTATTAGATAGGCAGTACATGGGGATAGGAGGATGCTATTCACGAGTCAATTGCATTTCAAGCACAACATTCACAATGCTGCAACCGAGTGTTTTACACACCAGATAGCCCCCCTCACCTTATATAACCTTGCTTTGGGTTGTGAAAGTTTTCTTTATTTTTTTAATGATTTTTTAAAGATAACACTACAGGTAATACACGGGGTAATACAAAACAAAGGGCTGCAGACACCTTTCCTCAAAGAAAATCTTCTATTTGACATTTGAGCAAACAGTACATCCAAAAGCATTAACTGATTGAGCGATAAAGTTAGGAACTCGGAGCATTATTTGTTCCACAACACCGACTGAGAACCAAGTACTGTACATTTCCTTGTTTTCTTCAAAATAGATAATGTACCATGCCTGTAATCACCCGGTACATGTTTCCTTTCTTATGCTGACAGTCTTATTCTTAACTTTCTCAAAGTCTAACACATGCACATGACAATAGTATCTGTTGTATGAAGTGTATAAGATGAGGTATGTCCTTGTTCACTTGGCCGCATTTTGCCCTTCTCTTTCAGAAAAGCAGAACTGTGTGCTGGGAAAAGGAACTCCTTGTTATCTGTGGTCATTAGGTTCTGTTTACTCTTCTGTACAGAGTGGCACATGTCTCTGTCAATAAGCCTCCCAGAGGTTATTGGCTTTTGGAGATGTCGTCATGAAGGTTGGTTGCAGAGTAGTTGTGGTCAAAGGTAGTTGGAATGAAACAAGGTACATAGAGGAAGATATTCTTTTAGAAAAAATAACAGTCCGAACACTCAGGAAAACTGTTCAGTAGTCCACTGGTCTGAAAAATAAGGAGAATGGAATGGATCGGGTGAGTGATTTTTTTTAAACACTTTTTTGTTTTTATATTATCATAACTGAATGTTTTGGATATCTCAATCATGCTGTATCGTACCTTAGATTTCTCAATAGTACTTTAGTACTTGGTGTTTATAATTCCTTAGTAAGTATTTTCAAATCTATGCATTTACTATATAAAGTAGACATAAAGTATTTATCACATATCCCACATTCATTCTTGTTAGTTATGTTAAATCTGGAAGCCATCACAATTCTGGTCTTATCACTAACCAGTATCACTTTCCAAGCCACATGGTTGTTCATTGGTTTTGATAGGGGGAAGTCTTCTCTTTTCCCATTCAGTTCATCTAAACAAAACATGCAGCAGACTATAAACAAAACCAAAGTTATAAAGCTCTTTGAAGTTCTAAAGTAACTGTTATGGTTATTACTTATGTTGTAGAGGCAGGTAGAAGCAGACAGTGGATTTATGGCCACTAAGTTAGTGCCTATTTGCTCTACATTTGACTTAAAGTAGATGCAGTAGATTAATGTGTAATTGATTATTGCTGAGATTTGTTCAAGACAAACGTTGTTTCACTACTTCCTGGTCCTGGAGGCTTAAATAAGAGCTAGAACCACTTTTCTTGTGGTGAATATGAAATTATTCTTGTATTCCATAGTCACACCGGAAATAGATAAATACAATATTGATTTTATGCTTGAACCTGGTAGAAAACAGGACATTTATCAACTTCCCCTTTTTTCTATTGTGTGAATAATCACATATATTATTTTTCCTTGAATTTGGCTTTTTATCTAAGAATGATCTAAACAATGGTTGATGCTGATATTTCCAATCACATTTCAAATGGCTAAAAAACAAAAAATATAACATTTGATTATAAAAATACACATTATTTCCCAGTGTGACTAGATCATGTTGATGTGTGAACAAAAAGTAAACTACTTATTGCTATAAAAATAAAGTTTTAGTTTTATTATACGTTAGTGATACACAAATATGCTCTACTGTTCTGCTATAATTTATTCTGTAATAAACTGTTAAATATTTTCATATTATTTTGGTATTTATTTTTAATGTCACCATACACCTTTGCCTTTCACAAACTATGGTCCTTCAATACAGTACATGCTAGCATTAATGATTTAATTCAGAATATTACACAGAGACATGATAGATCTCTTTCAACACGCAGTTAATCAGTAAACACTCTTTTTTAGTTGACTGTGATGGAACACAATCACATGACTGTCATACTTTTTATTATGACTAGTGAAGGACCTCATAGAATGATAGGATCAGAGACAGCTGTGCTGCCTGAGGCATTCTTCAATTACAGGATTTACTTTGGCTCCAAAATAAAAAGCGAAGCTAGTTCGGATACAGTGACGTCATCGCCCTCCCCGCGCATAGCAGGGACCTGGGCTGAGGGAGGTCTCCTTTAGCTCGTGCGGCTGGTTCCCTGTTGTGTTACGCCGGAGACCCGGGTTCGCGCCCCTGGTGTTGCGGGGCAAAATGGGTGGCGGAGTGCACAAGCCCATGCGGAACCTCGACGGTCACATATTATTCATGTCCATATTTGCTGAATGATTCAAAATATTGATTTCACACACTAAGCTAAGGAACTCCTTTCTTCTCACTCAGGATGCCTGCAAACAAGACATGTGAAAGTGAGGTGTCCATGGAGCTCTTTCTGCACTGCTCCCTTGTCCCTGCTGTGAGTACCCTTGTAGTCTCCCAATGGAAAATTCCTCGTCAGCACTAACAAAGTGCACATGCACCCAAAGTGTAAAGTGGAGGGGAGTTCCTGGCTCGAGAGTCTGAGCTGGGCTTATTCACTGCTCGTAGCTCCTCCTCCCCATGATGTCCCAGAACAATAGAGACTGCTTGGCTCAGATGATGTAGGTTACACCTCTCGGTCTGCATGAGGCTGAGCTTTCTGCAGGTGAGCAGAATATGGAGCAGAGGATTTCTCCTGGGTGGAGAATGCTTGTGGGTTTGTTAATACTGTGGAGTAATGTTTTTCGTTTTGTGTTCAGGCTGAGGACAATAAATAATCAACCAAGATTAATTCTCTACATTGTGAAGCCTATGGCAGTAATAGACAAATACACCCTTTTTCAGTTAAACATATTTATATTTTAAACCCTTGAGTGTAACATGGAGAGTTAGTTTTTTTTGTTTCTTAACCATTCATGTCCAAAGGGAATATGGTTGTTTGTTTTTAAGCATTCCTTAAAATGGAAACAGCTGCCTTTCCTTGCCTTACAGGAACATTTCCCATCTGTCCTTCTTCCAGGTTTTCATCATAGCTGTCCTGTCTTTTCTGCAGAGGAGGGGCAAGAAAATGGCGATCGATGAGAAAATCCCTGTTCTCCGCGGGCACTTTGGCCTAGTCGTGTGAGCCAATTGATCTTCTCAAACACTCAAGGGCCACATTCCTCTTTCTAGGGTTGTCTACCAGTAGTCAGGCCCGGCCTGACTATTGTCATTAATGAGAGGACAGTGGTCTGACTTCATCTTCCCATACTTGTAAATTGTCAATTCAGTTTTTCGTCTTTGCTGAAATGAAAACTGGTGACAAGCTCCTGTGTGCTGTAAGGATGTAATTGTGATGAGCTGGTCACTATTCCTGCCTCTGACCAGACCATGAGAAGTGCAGCTACCGGTTTGCTAGGTCATTAGGTTTCACAGTGAAGACATTACACTGAATTTCCACATGAATGTCTTTTATTTTAAGATCGGTTTTTAAATGTTAAAATCCTGTACTGCCTCCAAGTGTCATTTTATCAATAATCTTATCCTTTGATTTATTTTTGCCAGGCCTTTAGACTTCATTGGGAGCCTCAGTAACAGATGGTCCTATGGCTTTGCTTTTGGAGCTGTATCTTCTAGTGTCCTGTTACTATTCTCTGAGAGATATATACCATTTACTGTTCCATCATGGGCTAGAGGTACAGTCTGTAATACAATGTCATTCTTGTTAAAAGTGTCAGTAACAACAAACATTGACAATATTGATTTTTAGTAAGATATTGATTATATTGAACATTTGGGAGCTCTGGTTATCTAGTTTATAGTATGTTGTAGGACTTCATTTTAAAGTGTGTAGTATGTGTTGTGTGGGGAAGTAGGATGGTGGCATTAAAACACATCTATCGTTGTTTTGCATATCTTCCACTCACTTTTATTCTATACCTTGATGCTACATATCTATTGTTTTCAAGTAATATCTAAGATAATACTGCTGATCCATCTTCCTCATGCAGTCCAACGCAACAGGCCCTGGTGTGAGAGTGGGTGTGTTTGTGTCTGTGTGTGGCCTGTGATGGACTGCTGTCTCATCCAGGGTGAATCCTGCCTTGTGCCCAGTGCTTCCTGGGATGAGCTCTGGGTTATGGTGACCCTAAGTGGGATAAGTGGTTAATGAGACTGATGTAATGATGTGATATGACTGAATGATAAAATTATTAGGGTTTTACCATGAATCCCTGTATATTCACGACATAGTTTTAAGCACTAACAGGACTACTTCACCTGTAAAATTTAGAATTAAATCACCTATGTACACATTTGCTTATCCTATGTACATATATGCTAATTTGATGACATCTTAGCCGTCTTCAAAGGCAATCAGTACCCTCACCAGACAGTAGAAACATATAGTGCACTACTGCAGGACATCCACTGAGGAAAATGGTCTGCTCACCTGAAAATGAAGATTATTTAATTAACATTAACTGTGAAAGAGGTATGATGATTTTTCATGGCTGTTAATCTCTGTTTTTTAAAAAGAGGATTTTCACGTCTGGGTCGTTCCTGCATAGTCAATTAAAGAATTAACACAATTATTTTCTGAATTAGATGTGTAAAGGCTCTTTAGAAAGGGGACCTGCAGTCCCAATTTCTCTGACCGATTATTAAATCTCCATCACAAAATAAGTTATTTGAGGTTATAAAAAAATTACATATTCCGAATTAAGCACAAAACTGTGAATGTTTCGTGTAAATACTGTACGTCGCCATGTTGTCGCAAACTCACATTAGAGTTTCACTGAAATGTTCCAACGTGATCTGCGTGCAGTTAACAAGTAGTATTTGTCAGAATTGAAAGCAATATTTGTATTGGATTAAAAGAGACGTATTCACAAGCAGGCTTGTGAATACATAGGGCCACAACATGTATATCGCATATCTGGAAATGTCTGTTTTGTGATGTAAATTGTAGGTTTTACAGGTTACTGGTTACTGTGTACATTTTACTTTTGTTGCGGTTTGAAATGCGCTCATCAATGATGATTCTTTCTAATGCCGAAATATAAATATAGCAGTGTGGTTCCCCTTTAAGGTCTTTTACAGTTGGTTACTAAAATTGTACAAGTAGGTAGCTGCGTCAGCTTGCGTAGGCTGCAAACGAACAAGTAAAGGTTTATGCCATGCTGAGAAGAGAAGAAAAGAGACACAACATTTCGGCTGTGGAGCCTTCTTTGGCTGTGAGAAAGAGAGGAAAGTCAGCAGCAGATAAAGCATAGGCGAACAAAAGCCAGGAAGCGGTAGCAGGGAGGAGGCAAAGTGGACACTCAAGTGGTGCGAAGTCGAGAGAACTGAGGAGACGTGAGAAGTTTAAAGCTGCATGTGAATAGAGAGGATTAGAAGGAGACGAGTCTGTCGTTGAGAGAAGGGGGAAGGTGTGGTCCTAGTTTCAGGATAATTTGGTTTCAGCTATGGGAGTTAATAAACCCTACTTTGAGAACACAGACGGAGAGATCAGTGTGAACATGGCCATCAGAGGTGAAATGAGTAACTTGGAGTAACTTGGCTTGGAGAGATCTTTGATCCTCACAGCCCTGACATGTTCTCTGAAGCGGTCTCCCAGTCTCTCTCCTGTTTTCCCAGTGTAGATGGCTGGGTATTTTCTGCAAGAGATGCAGTACATAAGGTTGCTGGGGGTACAAGATGTCATCTGAGTGATCTGGAATTGTCCTGAGGGGCCGTGAATGAAGGTGGTATTAGATATATACTGTATTTGCAGGTGATGTAGTGGGTTCTGTTGCAGGGGAAAGTGCCTGGTGTAGTAAAATAGTGTGCTGCAGTAAAAGTACAGTTACCTACTGTATAAAACACCTTCCAGCCTGGCTAGAAGTATTAACAGTTACATTATCAGACGTGCTCTGTAATTGAGAGCTTAGAGGAAGAAAACTCGGATGACACCAGGCCCTGTATGCGACACTGGTTCAGATAGCTTCAGTACTACAGAGCACTAGCTGGAAAGTGGCTTGACAACTTGCTCAAAACCAAATCTACATTTATAACTGCAAATAATTCCCCAAACTAATTTATGATTTAACCTGCAATAGCATCCTCTTTTCTCTTCAGCTTTAGTGTATTTGGCAGGAGCTCTTGAGGTAGGCCTGGCCTACTTCCCTTTCTTTGCCTGCCTGTCGACAGACTTCAAGATTGTCGGAGGAGTGCTGGGGATCCTGTATACTCTTATTTGGTGGGTACTTAGGGTTGACATTTTTTTTTCTTCCGGAATGTAAGCAATGATACTTAATTCACTGATAATTAGTTGGGAAAACAATTCTAAACAGATGGAACAGAGCTCCATGTTCTGTGTTTGAACAGGCTCACAAAAAAACATCACGGTACTTGCAGAGTGGTTAATTTTCTGTAAACATAACTGAAATGATGTGTTGTAAACAGATTCTCCAATGAGTTACAGATTTTGCTAGAAAATAAAGATGATGCTAGTGATAAATCCATCTTGTTGTAGCATGGCACCAGGAAGCTATACACATAAAACACCCAAAAGATGTCTTTTTCAAGATTGAAGGACTCACCTGGCTGTATTTTCATGATGTTTAACACGTGATTGTACCTAGGCATTCTTTTTACTATAACCCTGGTTACTTTCCACACACCTTTAACCCCGTGAACTGTTTTTGTACTTTAACACACCATTATGTAAGACGGAACAAGTATAGGTTTATATGGAATAGATTTATTCCATGCTGAAAAAAAGAAGAAAGAAAACAACGTTTCGGCCATGGAGCCTTCTTCAGGTGTCAGGTGTCCAAACTTAAAAATTAAAAAAGGTTTTACAAAACAGAAAGAGCTACAGATGATAATTCATTTTTAGTGTATTTTTAAATTCTCTTTTCAAACAGATTTTAAATGTGTTTTTTTTCCCAATTTGTAGGTTTATCATTACTCTCTGGGATATCGTGACATGTCCTAGTGGTCAGGTAGGTGAATATTAAAATATATGTACAGTGCTATTAAATATTCAAGCTTTTTTTCTTGAAAAGCTCATAGGATAGTAAAAAAAAATGACCATGTTTGAATTTATAAAATAGGCTTACCTTGATTAATTTTTCAAACTTAAAATGCAAAATGGATACTTTTCTGTGTTGTTCCATGTTTGCTTTAGTGTTAGAGATGATTAAATCAGTATTATTCTAAAGGATGTCTTGTCCTCATTTGAGCTTATTGTAGCCTCTTTACACAAACAGGATCTTTGAAATGAAAAGCGGTCTAAAGAGATGATTATTTTTGCTATTATTCTGATGAGTAAGAAGTGCTCCTGGTTCTGAATGAGGTCCTGCAGATGTCAGGGCTTTCACCGCACACACAGGGGAGACTTTAGTAAAGGGCCCCGGTCACCCAGGATGGCCATGAGCCAAGTACACACAGGTATAGGAGCACAACTGAGATAAACCACAAGGTCAAGACTAGCAGCTGTTATACGAGCCACGTGTGCTGTAATCTCTCCCAGTTACCTCACCAGAGGTTGCAGCAGCCACAGTGCATTTCTCCCAGTTACTGCTCATTTGATGCTTTTTGAATGTTAAGTCTCTAAAGGTCCTTCATGTGAGGTGTCAGGTTTGCACCTGATGAGGTGCGGTGGTACGGTGGCTAAGGATCTGCACCTCTGGCTGGAAGGTTGCCGGTTCAAAGCCCGCGGCCAGCAGAGGAATCCTACTCCGTTGGGCCCCAGAGCCAGGCCCTTAACCCCAACTGCCCCAGGGGTGCCGTATAAATAGTTGACCCTGCGCTCTGACCCCAAGCTTCTCTCCCTGTCTCTTGTGTCTGTGTGTCTCATGGAGAGCAAGCTGGGGTATGCAAAAAGACAAATTTCTAATGCAAGAAATTGTTTATGGCTAATAAAGTGATCTTATCTTATCTGCTCTGCCCATGCCCAGATTCTTGGCAAATACCAGAAAATTATCTGCCTGTGGCCGTGCATCCTCTGCCTGTTTGTTCTGCTGGCCCGATATATCCACATGCTGGTCAAGGCTGTCCAGGCCCACCTGAATCTGGACGTGGATGAGGTGAGCACACATTTCGCGTCTTTGTCTTTCCATTTCTCCAGCCCCTGCTCGCTCAGGCAGCATGTCCGTCTACTGTTGAGAGTTCATGACAGTTACTGGCTTTAAATACAACACATGCACTGAGGCAAGCCACTGTTAAAGTAAGCAACAAACAAAATCCCAGATGTGTTTTCCGCATTTCTATTGTTCAATTGAGTGCTTTTTTCATGTGTTCAACTATAATCAACTGATCACTATGCACTGCAAACTACTACGGTCAGATGGTAGCTGGACAATCTCCCAAAGATAGTTCTGCCCCATGTCTTCACCTCATGAAATGTCTACCCAATGAAGCAGTGCAATTAAGAGATCCTAACTGAAGAGGACTGCCGGAAGTGAAGTGATCAGTTGTTTTAAGCACTAGGTTGGTAGAGTCTGTAAAGCAATGTGGCTCACCAGGGAAAAGGCAGTTTATACAAGACAGCACTGAAACCCAGCTTATGTATTCCTGCTGTGCGGATTGGCAGGGGTTTTTGTTTTCCCCTCAGTAACATTATCCTATGTGTTTCACACATACTAATGGGAACCTTTTTTAAAAAAAATAGAGGAGCAGAAGGAACTTCCCAGCACTGTATTTTTTTTTCTTTTTACAAAAGAAAAGGCTAAAGTAATTATTTTTTATGGCGTTTATGTTCATGCCCCTGTTGTTTCTGCATTCCCCCAAGGCTGTTGACAAAGCAGAGGCTGGTTGTGAGGCCTGTTCTCTCCATCCTGGGCCTCCTCACCCCTGTTATCCTTTCCCACAGGACCAGGAGCGGCTGTTGCAGACCCACCAAGCCCAGTATGTGAAGCGACTGCTGAGGGCTCCTCCTGAACGGTACGGTAGTGAACTGCACAGTGTTTTCTGTGACTGGTAACAGAAGTTTCTGGAATAAGCCTTGCTGACAGGTTTTACATCTCTTGTGCCACATGTTGGGATGACAAAAGCTTATAACCCATCTCACAAATAATGAGGTAGTGCAATAAATGGAGCAAACTAACAATCTATTCAGAATCTTAACAAATTTGAGTTTAGTACATAAAGAAAATGCCTGTTAGACCCATCACACAGGTCTGTGTATGGGGAATTACATGTTCTCAGCAGAGCTGCTAAATCAGCTGAGTGTTGCCTAGTTTGGGTTTAGTAGTCAGGAAGCTCTGCCTGGCAAGTTCATCTTTGGTCCCTGGAGTTAAACTCCAAATGAAGGCTTTGAGGCGTTTCTCACTGTTTTGTGCCTGGTTCATTGTTCAGTGTAAAGACGCTACAGTATGTCAGTTGCTTTAGCTTTGTTACAGTTAAATATTAGAACATTGGAATTTAGGTGACAGACAATTGGGCCATCATGCTTCTAGATGATATTGTGTTTTCAAGTTTTAGCATGTAAAAATCTGGGCTTCTGATAAAAAGGGCACGGTGGGATGCATAGACAGGCATGGCTCTGAGTTGTCCAGGGGCCCTTCAGCTCTGGGCTTCTGTAGATCTCTGCCACTGGAGGATGATCTTCCCTCCTGCAGTCATGGTGGCCCCGTTTGAGCTCCTGTTGATTGCAGTTCAAAAGATTCAGAAAGTCTATGGGAAATAACACATATGTAAGAGGATAGGTGTGTATGTTGTCTTCAGCACTGCCATCTGCCATCTTTTATTTAGGGGTTCAAAAATAATTGGCTCTTCCAGATCGGAAAACACAACACAAAGGCAGTTAACTGATTCTAAAGTTTGCAAATGTTGTTCTGTAGTATAAAGGTCCATTGGGAACTATGTGTATTGAGCCTATTGAGGTTTAATCAGATTGGGTAGATCTGCTGGTGTTTTTCTTTGTTTCTCTTCACAATCATGCTTCAGCAAACACTCACTGATAAAGCTGTTGAAGGACAAAGACAATTTGCCCAAATGGAGGGCAGATAAACCTCAAGAATTAAAAGGTGGTAAACAATAAATTGTATTGACACTTGTAAAGTTTCCATTTTAATTGCCTGAGACTGGGGCCCCTCATGTTTTACGATGGATCTTTATGAGGTTGTTGTAGGCTTGTTGTTTATTCATGTATCTGTTCTGGCAGAGAGGTGGAGAAGAGCTGGTTTCAGAGGAAGATATATGACTGGGACCCTTATTTCAAGTTCCCCAACAGACTGATCGGCACAACCATCATTTCCCTCATTGACTTGTATATTGTGAGTACTTTACATAGGTCCAGTGCAGCCCTTTTAAAACAATTCTGCTGTTTGCTTTTCAAGTGGTGTCTAGCAGAGGCCTAAAAATACCACTTTACATTGAAATATTCTAAAGTGTAAAAAATGCCTGGCAATACAGTATACTCAATTACAGAAGAAAATAATTAAAAAACAACCATTCCATAACACAGTGCAACTTTTCCAGGTTTATAAGTTTAACATTTTGTCAAAACAAATAGAAGACTTTTGTCCTATCTCTGTTTTGTAGCCTTCTATTACTAATTTTGGTTTTCCCTTAATTTTAGATTAATTAACAAGAATTTAGACAGTTCCTTCCTTCCTGGAGCACAAACAGTTCAAACTCCTTTTTCTTTCAGTGGTTGTCAGGCCCCTTTTACAAACTCTCTGCTGCCGCTTGCAGGTTTGTGTTTCCAAGAGCTACGGGCATACTGTGTGTGGTCTCCCACTGCAGAACAGTCAGCACAGGGCACCAGGAACCGAACTCTTCAGCAATAAACGTCAAGCTCTTTAAAAGGCCTTTGCACGTTCAACCTCCTTTTGAAAGATTGGATAAAATGGTCAAATTTGTAGGAAAACTGCGAGAAACAAATAATGTCTATATGAATTTGGACTTTCCGCTTCCTGCAATGTAATTTTCTAAAGAAAGCACCAGCAACAAAGCAATACATTTGTTTCCTGACTGTAGAAATGGTTTATGTGTTTTGATGTGCTTTCTGGTGAGATTCTCCACTCATTCTTTCTAGCTCTCGCTGGCAGACTACAGTTTGAGCAGCTATGCCTTCAACAGGCTTGATGGGCTGAAAGACTCCCTGGAGGATCTGGCTTCATCCCTCAATATGACTGACAACATCATTGCAAAATCTATCCCACACATTGAAGAATTAATCCGCGTTGCCAGAGGTGACAAATGTGTGATTGTTAAGGACTTAAAGATGAGCAGTGAAAAGAAAATTTAAGGTTTATGCTGGGTTTTGATACTCTGTTACGAGATGGAATGTAAAATAGTTCTGATTGACTCACTGCTTAGTGGATTAAGTCTGGACCTTTCAACAATTTTTGGATTGTGCAAGAGAGCGTTCTGGGCATTTTTATTTAAAAATAATGTGTTCTCTTTTGTATTTGCTTGCAGCTGCACAAACTAAATTCTGATGACAATTACACATTTTTAAAGAATAGTATAATAATTCACTGTGTATTACTGATGCACAAGAGCAGAGATTCAGTGTCTACATCATAGGTATTAAATTCACTATTTTCTTCAGAATTTTACAGTTACTTTTTACATTTCCACATGTTTTTATATCGAGGCTGGGGAAAAGACAATCATTGACCTATCCCTCTAACAGGCTGTAACAGTTTAGCTAAGCAGGGTACAGTATTTGCGAGTACTAGTCTTTTGCATTCGATTAATTAGTCTGCTCTTTACAATTATGGCATATGAGTGCATGAGACTCTCCGTTTATCGTTAACTAAACCCATCTGTGATTTGCTTTTCACTAATTTGATTAAAGGAGGCCACTTCCTTTCACTTCCAAATTAAATTTTAATGAAGTGTCCTTTTGAATTGTAGAAATGGCCTTTTTAAGTGGATTAAGTGACGGCTCCTTGTAGCCTCTGGCACTTTTCTCACAGGGTTTTCAGTAAACCGTAAGAGATGTTGGCAACAGTTTTAAAAGATGCACTTTGTGTTATGATAACTTTTCCTGATTAATGCTTCACAAAAATGCTTTGTGTCGGTGTGGGCTTCACTGTGGGCTCTGGTCTGAAGTAATTGCAGCAGTGAGTGCCTTGTTGTGGTGATGTGTACAGCTATGAAGCTAGATAAAGGATAGAGAAATATGATATATCATGCTGTGGAGATGTTGTCACTACTGTTACTTACAATTTCAAGCAAAAAGCAAGATGATGTGAAAAACGAAAACATTCATTTCTGTCAAATCATTCTGTCATGATTAGACACAGAAAGCTTGTTTATGTATTCTGTTCCTTGTGTTCTCATTAGGAGCACAATAGTGTAGATGTGTCTTTACAGTAGAATCCTCCAGTTGTAGTCATTGCCCATGTAACTTGGGAGTTTGCTTTTATAATTCTATGATACGTGAGTGCAATACAAAACTGAAAATAATTAAGGATTTGAAGGGAAAAATACTTTGTCGAAGATGTAGTTGCATAGAACGTTTCTGTGTTAGAAACATTTCTGTTTTTTTTTTCACATTTTAGGTGCCTGGTTGGTCACAACCATTTTTGCCATGCTGACCTCTGTGACTTACATCTTTCATGTGTTAGCATGTTACAGGTAAGATGGCATTATGTTGGAAAAACACAATTTCCAAGTACCGTGAATGGAAGAGCTGTAAACTTTAAAGATACTGCAGGTGTTTTCTATCTGGACACTAGTGAGCAGCAGGGATGGTTTAAATTGTCTGTTTCATAAGGTAGTAGTAGCCGTAACAGCCCCGCAGCATAGTGCCCAACACATGTAGAGACTAAAACATCCGTCTTGTGAAGGAGTGGCAGCTGTGTGAGAAAGTCAGCATTTAGGCTCAATCCTCAGGCCCAGTGGTGTGGCCTTGAGTCGACATTCGACTGTTAATTGGAAAAACCTGCTTTATGAGGCACTGCTGGTCTTAATGGGGATTCAGCACTCACTGACTGGAAAGGCTCTGTGTGGAATGAGCCATTCTTTAATTAAGAGGCTTGTAAAACCAGGTATGAGGAAAAGAGTTTCAATCTGTGTCTACATCTCAATCTGGAAGGAGTAAGAGTGAGAGTGGGAGTTTTCATTAGCAGCGGATTGGGCTGGGTTATAGGCCTGTGGGACTAGATCGTGATGCTTCAGGAAATACCAGGGTTGACTGAAGGCGTAAACGCCTGGAGGAGTGGGGAATCAGTTCAATTCAACGAGCTTTATTGGCATGACCGATGAATTGCAGTGTTGCCAAAGCATATACAGTCAATACAACATCTGCAGACATTTTTAATATAAAAACATTATAGGACAATTACGTACAATATACAACACATAGAATATTATTGCGTGACAGGCTCTGTTCCTCAGGCTGTGACTGTGAATCAGTGTACCGTCCGTCTCCCTACAGCTGAGAGAGAGCAGGCTAGACAGCACAGGTTGAGTCCTTGAGTCCTCAAGAGTGTGAGATACGTGTGAGACAAAAATGACGTCTGCGTCTGGGACACAAGTTTTTTACGGAGTAAAGTTGTTTACGGAGAGGTGTGCCAGGCCAATCAGAATCATCTGGGAGAGCTGTTGATTGTGTGGGGCGGGGAAGCTGCTGTTATTATTGAAGATCTGGTACTAGCGAAAAGTAGGAACAAAGAGTTGAATTGAATTAAGTATTCTAGTGTAGAATGCAACTGGGCAACAACAGGTTAATCTGGTTGAGTTCTTTGGTGTCTATAGATGAATGCAGATAGAGTGAAGAACTGGTGAAAAGATTTGGTGAGTGTCATTAGTACATGCAGGGCATAGTGATTGATGAAGACAGAGTGAATTGTTGGTGAGAAGATTTAGCAGTTTGTTTGAGAAGAAGCAATTGAGGAGCAACCTAGGAGGAATAGGACCATGCAGTCCTCCCCAAGAGAGCTAGGACCAAGAGAGGGGTCGGAAAGATAAAGACAGATCGTTTGAAATGTGAAAAACTAAGATGACTCTCGACAGTGCTGGAATTGGGAATTTGGTGTGTGTTGGCATTTGTCAGAGGCCTTCATGGTAAAGTGTTTGAATTTCACAAAAGTTGTGAGAAAACAGCATGAAAATAAGCCAAACGTTTAGAAGAAATGACTACCATGTGCAGAGGTTCCAAAGAGCAGAGGTAATAGCAGTGAAAAACATGATTTTGTCTTTTGTCACTGTGTACTCACTTTATTCAATCCTTCCTTAAGGAAACATTTAAAAAGGCTGTGGGCTGGACAGAAAGGGTTTCTACCACAGAAATTTCACAGGCCCAGTTCTGCTGTCAGCATGGTGAGTCATACCTGTTCTGTCTATAGAGTAGTGGACAAGTGTGGAAAATTTAATGTACCATGCAGTACACTCATGAATGTGGCCAGTAGAGAGGGCTATATTATACCTATATCCCTCTGTTATCTGAACTATGACGGTTTTCTGGTTTTCATGCTTAAATATCTAAGGATAAAGTAGTTCAAGTAGGTAGCCGCATCAGCATGCGTAGGCTGCAAAGGAACAAGTAAAGGTTTATTTCATGCTGAAGAGAGCCAAAAAGAAACAATGTTTCAGCTGTGAAGCTGGTTACAGCCAGAAGATCACACCCAAAGAAGGTTCCACAGCCGAAGCGTCGTGTTTCTTTTCTTCTCTTTTCAACATGGAATAAACCTTTACATTTACTTGTTCCTTTGCAGATCTGAGGATATCCTGTTTCACAATTTGGTCACTTTCCAACTCATTTTGCTACAATAAACCATTCTCACTCTGACCACTCTAACAAGGGCTGTCAAACCAGTTGACCTTTACCTGAATTGTGAAGCAGTATATTTGTGTGATATCATGGATTTACTGCATCACTGCACTATAAAGCTCAAGGTGCTGCCCAGTTGTAAATATTTCACCAGAAGGTCAGCCTGTGTAGATTGCATGCTAGGAAATGTATCTGGAACAGTTGTCTTGCTATTGTGACTTGTTGGTTAGAGGCTCCACATCACTTACCTGTGCTGCAGCACTAGAATATTGTGGATAAGCATGTTTTACATGACTATTTTTTCCAGGGCTTTTTACTAATTCTTTAAATTTCATCTATACACTTCGTTGTTCTTTGGAGAGACTATGCCTAGAGACCTGGAAGTGTGTTTCTTGTGTAAAATGTGATAAACTGGATTATCAAAAGACAGTTGTCCATACAGTTGTGCATACAGAGCCTGCATGCTCTGCCTGCAAGTGTTTTTTCATAATCTATAATCCTCAATGTAGCAGGTTCATGAAATCCATAGACACATTATGATGCCTATGTAATCTGTGCCTCTATGGTAATGTAGCTTACGTTATGCATGTAAATTACCTTGAGTGACCTGAAGTATGAGTAGAGAATGTAATACTTAAAAAACTAACCCGCAAATGTAATAATGCTGTTTGTTATGAAACTAAAGATAATTACACTATTGCATATTACTAATCTTTTTATGATTTCAGGTGTGGCTTTGAAACATTTTTTTTAATTTTCAGGCTGCTATTACAAGGTATTCAGGATGGCAAATAGCTTTTACATTATGGGGTATGTACAGAACTACTTATCCAAACATTACAGAAACCTCTTCCAAATCTTATCATCACTGTTTCCATGTTGCATGTGAATTGATAATTTCCTTCATCAGTGTAAACCTTTGGGTTTGTTTAAAGCCACAGTGTATAACTCTTTCTGTTCTGAATCTTTCTGATAGACAGATCTTCGTCACTCAGTCTATCAGTTCACTATAAATGACTTAATCTTACTGTCTACCATCTGAAAGTGTTCTGAAAGGTATTGTGGTATGGTTAAGACAAACGTAAAGCAAATGTGATATATAAAATTGGTTTATTAAAACCATCAAAACGCTGACTTCAAATCTCTTAGATGTTGCAACAAATATAGAGTGAAAAGAAATAGCTTGTATTCAGATTGAAATCTAATGTTGATTAAATTAGCTTAAACTGATGGAATATAACCTATTGAATGTAGAAGAGCTAAAATGTAGTTTAATGGAGATGATCAGGAGACTGTTTTTTTATGTATTATCCAAAAACAATACAAATCAGATGGGATTTACAGCAGTAACCCATATGTACTGTAGCCTGATCACATTAGATCGCAAAGCTAAGCAAGGCACGTGCTCAGTCCTGGGGTGGGAGACCTTTAAGAAAAAACAGGTTGCTGCTGTATGTTGTGTTGGTGGGCCAATAGGCAGCTCTTCTTCTCTATAAGGTAATTGCTAGTCCAGTGCCTCATTATAGTGATAGGGAACACTGTGCTGTAGGAGGTGCTGTCCTGAAGATTGGATGACTATAAGGTCTTGAATGATATCATTACACTCTGCATAATAGTAGGGGTGCTAACCTCTTATTACAGTAATGTGTGTAAACATGACAGCTTGTCACTGTCCTATCCCTTACAGGTTACTTGATCATTCATTTTGTCCAGTTCCTGTTAGGACTGCTGATTGCATATGCATTGGTACTACCAATCGTGCACGGCAATGGACTAGAACTGCTCAAACACCTGGCCATCATAATGTAAGTTTGTGACAAGAATACTGTACATTGATTGTATTCTGTGCCCTTATATACCTTTCAGTTTCTTGTCTTGCTGAATATATATCAGCCTGCTATTTGATCTTTACTCCTGGGGTTCTTTGTTTATTAATAACTAATTTAAAAGCAATACATTTTCTAGAACTGCACAGTCAATTCATCCAGACATCAGATACCTGCTTATTCCTGGTAAGAATCATTACAGTCACAGGCGGGGATAAGACTACACCTAGAAGGGATACAAGTCCATGCTCACATCAGACTAATGACTCTATACAACACCATCACAAAAAAAATCTTGCAAATGCACAGTCACTGTTTTCTCTAGTTTTTAAATTGTATTTATGGATATCACGTTTTTCCGGGCTCATGTCCGGAACATACAAGATGCTGCCCAATTTCTCTAACAAATATTTTTTTTGTTTGTTTTTAGCTTGACCTTAGCTCTGGTTGCAGGACTTGTGATCCTTCAGATTTTTCTTGTCCACATCTTCTTCCTTCAAGACAAGATTTTGCAAACGGATAAGCAGAAGCCATTAGCTCTAAATAACAGGTACGTAATGATGGGGTCCTAATCAGAAGTCAGTACTGAGTGGGCCTTCCAGTGCATTTTCATGATATGAAACACCAACAAATCTGCAATATGAAGACTGCAGTACACTTAGTGAAAGAATATAATCTCAGCTGCAGTATTTTACTGAGATTGACAATAACCCACTGTTGTAGTTTTTCAATTTAAAATGGCTATAACTAAAATAGAAATAAAGAATGAGGAACAATCAGGAAGAAAGTCAATCTCCAGGATGAACCATTCCCCACCCCAGCTCCAAAAACACAATCCATTTTTATGTGAAACAGAGGTGTGTTTGATAATATATTATCAAGAGCCATGCTTGACAGATTTATATAAAACCTTTACACAGTGACTGCAAGTTTTGAACATTTAAATTATTAAAGTTTTCAATTCCTGTCAAGTTTCACAGCTCATGTGGTGGAATCTTTGCCAAGCTAAAAATATACAACATCTCAGCTCCAGCGAGCAGCAGTGCACACCAGCAGAAAGCCATCTCCTTCTTAAACTAACAGAAGAGTGTTAAGAGATCCCTGCCCGCTCCCTGTGTCCCTATGGAGAGATCTTTTCTAAACACACAGCTCAACAAGAGCTGTAGCAAGCAACCTGCAGGGGAAGCCAGTTTTCAAGAACTGGAAAAACCCAAATGGCTGGTTCAAACAAATATTTCACTCACAGCCTCACACCTCTGTAGTAAATAAGACCTCTGAAGCCCAGGCTACAGTCCCATCTCCTACTGCCAGGGGACACAGCGTATGGCAACACTTGAAAAGAGGAAATTCACTCATGCCGATGTGTTTTTGGATATGTAACAATTGCACTGTGTTTAGGCACAGACATATTTATAGTGTACAAATATCATGGGTTCACCTTGAAAACCTACTTCAAAGAAATTGAAAAGTAAAAAAAAAGATCATATGGAGTGATGAGTGATCGGCTAAAATGAGTATGGTTGTTTGTCCTTGCAGAAAAGCTTTTCACATCTTCAACTATTTCTTCTTCTTCTACAATGTGATCATGGGTCTGGGTAACTGCATCCTGAGGCTGATCTTCAGCTTCACGGTGGGAATGTGTCTTGTGCCAAGAATCGACCGCACCATCCTGCAGCGGGGGTACGAGACTCTGGACCCAGGTCAGCCCCTCTCCTCTCCACTGTCTGTCTTTCAGCCACTGGTTTGTGTCATCCACTGGCTCGCCTCCTCTACATTTGTGAGGCAAAAAGTGGATGGAATGAAAACTAGACACCGTCCTATTGCGTTTGACTGTGTGGATTTGCTTTGCAGTGGTTGGGATTTACATTTCTCTCATTTCACTGGTTGAATTAAGACATTGGGCTGGAGTTAAGTCAAACACATTAAAATAGTGTAGGAGAACACACATAGATAATAGACTAGACTGTGTTACAAAATGTCTGTTACGAGCTTATGTCAATGCCAATGCAACCGAGATCATCAGGAGAAAAAGTGGAAAATCAGTCTTCATTTTTTAATCAAACTTGAGTATACATTTAACAAGCTGAAGACAAATGAAGTCTGAATACTTTAAACACAGACAAGAAGCTAACATTGCTGTAGTAAAGGCTTGGCAAAGCATCCCAAATGATTATACAAATTGTTTGGTGAGCTCACTGGCTCACAGGCTTTATGCAGTTGCTGCTTCCAAAGGATATGCAACCAGATTCTGACTTTTGCATTCTGAAACATAAATTGAATGTGCCCTAACATGTAAGATTACTTGAAATCACTGGGTTAACCAGAATGTATTTTTTTGTTCTAATATGATCAAATAAATGTGTGGCATTATCCAAAAAAGTTAATTCTATTGGATGCACCATACATATTAATATTATGATCATAAATATAAATTGTTTGGCCGTAAAGCAAAAAAAAAACATTTGTCTTGCTGTCCCAGTGCTTTCGGAGGGCATTGTAACCCATATCCCTATTTTATATTGATACATGAAACTATATGGTGTATATGATGGTGCTTGTACTATACTCCAAGCATACTAACTGTACACCAAGGAGCAATTATGATTTTTCCAACAGATAATTACAAACTTGGTGGCATATTGTAAAAAAGACAGAAATAATAGGGGAGCTTGTCCTACAAGGTAAACATTAAATTAATAGTTTATACGGTTGACAATTTTATCCAAAGTTACTTGGAATTTGTACAGGAGTGTACCACAACCATCCTGTTATGAGTCCAACACCTTAAATACCACCCCAGACTGATGACATGTAAGAGAAGATTTGCAATAAGCTCTTTTACTGGGAGTTATAACAATTTAGATATTTAAAAAAACAGTATTGCAGTTTCTAATGACCAAGCTCAATGCAGATTAAATGACCGAAATATGAAAGTTATGACCTAGTATACACAGGTAGATTTTGTAATCTGTTTTTGGAGAAGGACTGCCAACGTCCTACTGTTGAATGTAATGCTATTTGGTTGTGCTTTAGGGTATCACACTTGGATTGGTATGATATTTGCTGACCACTATCACAGCAATCCTGTCATGATTTGTTTCTGTCATCTACTGCTGGCTGCAAATCTTGAGAATCAAAGAAGAAGGATTTCAATTTTGTCATCATTTGATAACATATCTTCAGGTAAGAATCTCCTCACAGCCACAATGAGCTCTGAATGCAAAAATATAATTCTGTTAGTAAAACTGTTGAAGGATTTATAAATGTAGAGAAGTATCTCCTATACCTGTCAATGCAGTGACAATGATTGAAAACTTTGAATTCCTTCTGTTCTGGCCTGTATTGTCCCAGTGAGTATTGTTTTATCAGGGTCAAACATTGAGACAATTCAGGGAGTCAAAGAGAATTTGAGTACTTTTGAGGATATGCATCCAATGTTCAATATTTAACTTTTTTAGGAGTTATAAGTTTTGTTCATAAAGAATCAAGAGCATGGTGCATCTGGTCTTCTGAAAGACTGAGTACTTCACACTTCTTGTGCAGTGTCTTTTTCCATGTCTGATTTTGTACTTTGGTAATGCACATCTACAAATAAATCCACCTTAGAAGTGAATGTGGTGTAAAGTCAAAACATGGAACATTGGCAAAACAGAGCACACATGTGGTACTTATACAAAATGTGACTTGCGTAATGCCTTAATGCGGTACACTACTGGATTTTGGTGTATTGTAAAGCACTCTCTTGCTGGCAAATGAATCGCATAACCTTGTGAAACTGTGCATACAGTTGTACTCTTCCCTCTGGACTAGAATTTCCAAACCAGTGCTGCAGAATGGTGACCAGTCACAGTGCCGTAGGAGCTGCCATCCTTCCTGGCTCAATTCCACTCTGCACTTTCACAATCTGACCCATCTGAAATACCCCCTAATGCATTTGTTTTTCTTCAGTTTCTCACCTCTGCTCTTGATGTGCTGCCGAAAGTGGCTCCTGGCAAAACATGGGTGCTGGGTCCTGCACTTCACTAGCAGACAAAGTGGGCCCCCTGCTATATGTTAAATGCTTGGGATCATTCAGGATGAAAAGCACTTTGCAGAAAAGAAATGAATGAATATTAATTAGAAGTGACCAGGGCAGCATGGGGGCACAGAGGTTGGCATTGCTACCTCACAGCCATGTGTCCCATGTTCAGTTCTTGGGGTGCTATCTGCATGGAGTTTGTATGTTTTTCTTGTGTTTGTGGGGGTTTCCTCCAGGTGCCTGGTTTCCTCCCACAATCCAGACACTTACTGGTAGGTAGACATACTGGTTGGCCCTGTGTGCATGCATGTGTTTGTGTCAGGCTGTGTGGCCTGCGATGGACTGGCGTCCCATCCAGAGTGTATCCTGCTTTCCGTCTGTTGCTGGCCAGAATAAACTCTGGCTCTGGATCTTCTGCGACCTTGTGTTGGATAAAGCAGTATAGAGGTGGATTTTGGATAGAAGGGACCATTTTAGGGTCACAAAATGGAAATGGTACCATGAACAGGAAAAATAAGTTCTCTATGTGTCATTTTCTTGATTTGTCGTATAGAGCCAGCAGAGAACTGCAGAGCTCGTGTGAGATGGAAGCTGATCTACACCCTGTTGAAGAACCCCAAGCTGATACTTCTGCGAAAGCGCAGGACATCCTGGAGCAGCTCAAGGTCTGACCAAGCCAGACCGGATACTATGACAGTACCTTATGTACTGGCCTCACAGTACAGGAACCCAGTGGAATCAGACATACCCAGCACACTGCTGGGACATCATGTCAGCATGTTACTGTCAACAGAGAGCCCCCCAGAATCTAGCAGTTCAACAGGTTGAGGGCCATTATCCTGTGCTATTCGATGATCACTGTGCTCCATGAACACACACACGGCCCACATGCCCTAATGACCACTCAGTAGCTAACTACCTGCGGTACAGGAATGTCTGTCAGGCTTTTAGAAAAAGCCAGGAGGATGTTCTTTATAATCCAAAAATGGATTAAGTTATTTCAAGATTTTGCCAGTCCTGTGTACCCTGTTATTTTTTTGTGATGCTTGTTTAACAGAAAAGCGGGAAATTTTTGGGGAAGTTTCTGAACTTGTACACTTGGAACCTTCAGGACATGATGCACAAGTATTATACTGTATACTGTGTGCAATCTACGGTTTAATACGAATTTGAACTGTTAAAGATACATATGTTTAGGGTATTCCATTCAAGGTTAATTTAGTGATTATTGCTGCTACTAAACTTATTATCCACCATTATGAGGCTGTTGAATTTTAAAAATAAGGTTTTAACAGTGCTACTATTTGTTTTACTGTATATAATGTATTGTAATATATATATATAAAGAGGAAACACATATTCCATGTAGATTTGTCTCTATGGTGGATTGGTAGGTTTTGATAGCTCAAGGACTTTGATGTCAATCCTTCATTTTATTCTGCTAATTTACTCTACCTTTTTAACCGAATCAATAGTCTTTTCATTTGCTTCAGACAGATTTCTATTTCCTGTTTAACTCTGCACTCAAAAAATTGAGTTTTCAGATTTTAGAAGTTAGGAAGAACTGGTCCTTGCCCGGACTAGGATGGGGAATACCTAAGATAAATCCGGTTGTGGTTGCAAGTGGTGCTGGTAGACCAGTAGGTGGCGTTCTTCCTTCTGGACCAGTATTTCCAAACCATGTAGTGACAGGGGAACCTGTGCTATAACAAGTTCTGTCCTTCACATGACTTGGTCATGAAGCACTTAGAAAATGGATGGAATCTACCTCTAAAACTTTTGCCTTGGCCCCTGACTACATCAGTGAGGTGTTATCTCTCTATGAATCTTAATACTGTGTGAGTTATGCAGCCTCAGGTCCCAGTACAAGGCTTCAAGCACTGGGAGAGCATATTTTCTGATCTGTTGACCAAGGTTATGGAATGGTCATCCATATCAGGTCTTCCAAGACTACAATTTCAAATTCTGTCTTAAGGCTCACTTTTATACTTTTATATGTGTCTTTTAATTTTGATTTGCTGCTTTAAATTCGCTGTGTAAATGTATATCTTATGTTTTTTATTTGTTTTATTCTAATGGACATTAAGTTGCCATGCCTTAAAAGTACTGTCTAGTATAATAAAGATTATCATTAAGTGCTTTGAGTGTTTACTGATCTGTTGCCAGTGCTGTTTGCACTTCACAACCACCTGGATTAAAAAACAAAACATTTGATATACTATCAGAGAGCTAAAATCTTCAACACAGTACATTTCACTGAATGTATTTTAAAACCCTGGAAAAACAATAATAAAATTGGCAGTAATGGACATGCACACTGAAGAAAATCTAATGGTAATAGATGCCTTGCCATTCTGTCACTAGAGACTAATATTATATTTATTTACAGACTTGCCAATGAAATGATATTACATACAGTATATAGAACAGTGTGTGGCAGATGCAGCTAAGGTTCTTGGTTTATTTATATTATGAGCTTCCCAGTGATTGAATTACGGAGGTTAGGGAATGATATAATGGTCAGATCTACATTTCTCTCAGAATTAACTTAAAAGCACAAAGCTGTAGTTGAAGGATAACACATTCTGATCTGCGAGTAGCTATATCAGTCTGCGGCTCACAAACGGCAACCCACTGAAGCCAAGCAGGTATGAGACTGGCCTGTACCTGGATGAGAGACCATCTGGGAAAGCTAAAGTTGCTGCCAGAAGAGGTGTTAGTGGGACCAGTAGAGAGCTCTGTGGGTCTTGATGCACAGGGGGTAGGGGTGTTAGCCCTGGTTTCCTGGCCAAATTTCCCCCTGGTCTTTACCAATTATGGCCTCCTAATAATCCCCATCTATGAATTAGCTTTATCACTCTGTTCTCCTCCCCACTGATAGCTGATGTGTGGGGAGCGCACTGGTGCACTTTGGCTGCCTTTGTATCATCCAGGTGGGAATCCACATTGCTGGTGGTGGAGAGGAGTTCTCATTATCTGTAAAGTGCTTTGAGTGGAGTGTCCAGAAAAGTTCTATATATGTGTAAGGAATTATTATTATAACAATATCAAACATTACATTAAAATATTGATACTGCATGATAAAGCTGCAAAACGTGCAAGTACAAATATAAATGCATATTCAGTTAATTTTTTTTTCATTTTCTCATAATCCCGACTCCTTTCACAGTTTAAACAAATTCATGTCTTATATCATTTTCACTAAAATGTTTATTTTCGGCAGCAATCATAAATGTATTTTGCTTGGTACTGTATATTGTTATGGTAGCTACGGTTTTAATACAAATAACAACACGCAAAATTACACATTATAATTAGTCATTGTAATTAAAAAAACTATACTGTATTATCATCTACATCGCTTCTCATCTTTTTTACTTTCCGAGTACTAGACTTGCCGATAAAAAGCTAGTATTTTTGCTGTACTTTCTGTGCTGTTTCATTAGCGCCATTAAAAGCACACGAAGACCAGTTCATTGTTACAATGTTCTGAGCACCACCTACTCCACTGGTACTTCTTTTTTCTCGGGGTCCAAATGATAATTACACACGTATCCTAGCCCTCCCGTCTGCGTCGTAGTTGTAATATACCAAAAGAGACAGCTCTGTGGGAAAGCATTTCGATTGCACGAAGTCTCGTTTTCTCTCTTTTGCGGGTAACAGAATTGTTGACAAAAATCCAACTACGAAAAAATGGTGATTATGAAATCAGTTGTGTATATTCTAAAAGTAATTGCCAATTAAGATTTGAGACCACATTGATAACTTTACAAGTACTTACAAAGTTTAAAACAACTGCAGAGTATTACACGCATGAAAACAAACGTAAATGGAGATGGGCTATAGAAATGACCCGGGTGTCAATGTGAGCCCAGTCATGCATTCACTCAGATATTGTAGGTTAAAAGATTTTAATGAGTGAGGGTTTTTTACAATTTAAATGAAGCGGGAGGGGTCGAAATACAGTGCTGTTTTTTCTCGTCTAACCCCATTTGCAATACTGAGTCCAGTCTGTTCCTGACGCACCACAGAAAGGACTACAACTACAAAGCAGCCTGCTCACGTTTATTTGTAGTTTAACATGAGTCTTGTCTGATTAGACTGCAAGACACCTTCTCCAAAACTAAGTAAAATATTTTGGACTGGTTAATTTATATCAGTTCATCTCAAAAGTGTAATTCACTGGGTGTTACTCTTGAGAGTAACAATCAAGAAACAAATATTTTGGAATACGCATCCAGGCCAGTTTGACCACATACAGACTGTTCTGACAGAACCAACAGACAATTTCTACCCAATGTAACAAGCACTTTAAATATATGGAAACTTTTAAATTAATCACATGTGCATGATTCCAAACTGAACTCAATATTTTGTTTATCAGATTGTTTTTACCTTCACCTACAAATTAAGCAACACACCAAAGAAAGAAATATGGAAAACTACTTATCCAAGATGGACATGTTCTGTGCCCACAAAGATTACTTTTTGTATAAGCAGATATTGCATTCAATCAAATCTACATGAACATTACAGGTTTTATCAACTCAGATTTAATTCAGCTAAGATTATTTCAATTTATATACAAAAGGAATGATTGCCACCTTCTCCATTTCCTCTCAAAAATGAAATAATTCTTTATAAGATTACATAGCAATTAATGCTAACATGGATCCCAAACATAAAGACATATAAAGTCTCAATCCAGCCCCTACCCACCCAACTAACTTATAGGAATAAGAAGAGCACATCTAAAGCATGTGCAGCTTTAGATGTGCTCTAAAGCATGTGATCTAGAGCATCCACCTGGATGCTGCACCAATGTGCAGGATCCAGGTGGATGCTGCACATTGGTGGTTGTGGAGGGGAGACCCCATTACCTGTAAAGCGCTTTGAGTGGAGTGTCCAGAAAAGTGCTATATAAGTGTAACCAATTATTATTATTATTATTATTATTATTATTATTATTATTATTATTATTATTATAAACCAGAAACTGTGCTCTTTGCAACACACACCCTATAACCAGCACTTGGATTTCTGTTTTAATGTATGTGCTACAGGGCAGGAAAACTTCAAAGGGAGAGAAAACCAGGTACAAAAGAGAGATTAGAAAAATACCATATCTGACAAACACCCTTGCCATTATATGCTAATACAGTATGGCAGCCGACAATCAACACAAATTGGACAATACACTATCTGCCCAGACATGCATCAATTACACACATTCAGGGGTGACACATTAGACTGGGTGGGAGTACTGAACATGCTGGAAGTACACCTGCCACACCTGTGGTGTCATGCTGACATCACACCTTTGGAACAGAGAGGCAGAGAGGGAAGACAAAGGACAAAGGACAAAGGAAGCAGGGACAGTGAACTGTGACACCTCCTCATCTCCATGCATTCAGTTCCTCAGGCTGTCCTCCCCCTCACACTTCTGTATGTCTGCCTATCCCTAGGAGAAGAACACTCCTCTGGTCTTTATTCATTTGGAATATCCTATAATACATTTTCACAAATGGAACTGTAGGCACATTTCACCAAACACAAATACAAAAAGGTCGTGCTGGTTTTAAAGCAAGCAAGACCTTTTCTGTCGCAAAATTAGCAAAAGACAACACTGAAGTGGATTTTCTCTAAGAGTGTATTATATAATTATTACAGAAGATGAAAAGGTAATAACCAGAAAGGTTAATTAATACTGTACTTTTTACATGTTTTAGTAAAAGGTTAAGCATTTTTTTAAGCAAATTCAAACGATTTGCCAATACTTGATGACAGGTAGATAGCCCTAATGGACATGTTCCAACCATGCAAACAGATACTCTAATTGTTGTGTACTAAAGACGAACCGATGGGACAGTCTGAGAGAGATGGTCTGAGCAGGAGTCTCTATTTGCTGCAGAAAAGCAGAAAACCATTGGTTTGTTGATTGGTGGCCATGTGATTGCAAGGCGCTACATTAATTATGTCCCTGGACCACACCTGCTGCACTTCCTGTGGGCTCATCCCGACATGACAGCATTCCAGCAGCATATTTCCATGTGCTGACTTTATTGTGATGAATTCGTTGCGAGACTGAGAGTGTGGCAATCATGATGTGGATGTCCTACTCAGCAGACCTGAGCCCCATTGAAAATGTATCGGATGAGCTGGGATGACATCTAGGGTTCAGAGACCAGTGAACAGACACTATAAGAAAAATGGGACACGATCTCTTAAACAGCACACACAACCTGTTTTACAATATTTACGTCTTGTGTTGCTACCAACAATGGCCATGGAAGCTATGAGGCCATTACTTTCACAGTAGACCCCCTCTTGACAAACGTTGTTGAGTACAAATGTTAGCATAATGAAATTTATCCCTATGTCTGATCAATAAAATAACACGTGCTACAACAAAAATTCTATAATTTTCCTGATGACTATTGGAATTTGTTGCAGTTACAAATAATAGGTTTCTTTTGCAGCTCAGCATATATTAGCTTAATGGATATGATGATATTAACTCAATAGTCTGTACATAGATCATTATATTTGCCTGCAATGCTTTAACTGCTTTTAGAGCCAGTTTAGAAGTCACTGATAATTTCTCTTCATGGATGGTTAGTAGTATAGTATTAATATCCAGAAAAAAATATATATAATGTGCAGCACACAGATCATTTGGTTAAACATTTATACATAAGTTATATATAAAATCCTGAAATAAAATTCTGTTTATTAGGAACATAAAAAGTGAAATGTGGTGCACTCAACAGTAAGAGGGAGGCAAGACGCTATGTCCGTCTTGTTTAAAACTCCAGAGTCACAACTTTTATCATGAAAACACTTCACAGTCATACAGCAGAAATGCAAAGGACAGGGAATTTGTGCACTTTATAATCTCATTTTAAGACTTTAAAATAGAAATCTCAGTTTGTTTATATAATTGATTAATTATAGATGGTCAAAGGAGTTCCATCTGTTGTTGAGAAATTCAGTGTAGACTTTAGACTTACACAGAGAATGCAGCGCATATGTACTTATCAACACTGGATCCTGAGTTTCTGAAGCAATAAAGCATTGCATTGATTTGAATGATAGTAAAGTTTAAATTTCAACAACATGTCTTGCATTATACTTACAAACACAAGAAAGGTTACAAACAACAGTAGACCATTATTGGTAGTTAGCAGTTAATTTAAGAAACTCATCTATTTTTTAAAAGACACCAGGATATCAGCTTCAACAGTATTGCTAGGTATCTTGGTCCACTCTCCGACAACCCTTCGGGTAGAGAAGTGTCTCCTGTCCCGATTTTTAAATGCACTTCCTCTAAGACTAAACATAGCAAAACAAGCAAGTGTAATTATACAATTAAAACAAGTAGAGCAATGAACACGTGTTTTGTTTCTTATGCTGCACTTTCCTAGTTTTCATTGATGTGGTGCTCTTTTTCTCTACATGAAAATCACTAATTTTTTCTTTTGGTGATCAGCTATTGCAGCTTGCTGATTTTATAACCATTTGCTACGGGATGCGAAGATATTTTACTGCACAGAACTTGACGCTTTGGGTCCTTCTCGATATTGCTTTATGAGCAGAAAGAAAAACCGAAGAACCTGCCACGTTTTCTCTGCTGTCTTTGGCGTTTGGCATGATCAGAGCAGGTGGATAGCTTTGCATGGATTCCAGCTAGAGAAGTGTGATTTTCTTTTTGTGTTAGCTGCAAACAATACACAAACAACCCCCACGATACATTGAGAACGTTCTGATTAGTCGAGTTGTAGAGTAACCTTTTAGGAACCCGGGGCGCTTCTTGGTGTTTATTTTTACTTTAAATACAAATACGTTATTTGGAGACGCTGTGCTCATTGGTCCTAGTAGGTCGCCTTTCGGACGGCCTTGCGGACAACGCCGGCACTGCGAGCGGGCCGCTGTGACTGGGAGCTGTCTGCTGTGCTCTGAGTGCCGCAGTGCCTGTCGCGACGCCTGCGCCTTGATGGCTAATTAACAGGGGCTGGAAGCAGCTGGCGGATCACGTCACTATTAAAACAGCTCAGCAGTCGGCACTAGGAGAGAGAGCCGCGGTACTGGAGTGCTGGCTGGGAGGAGAGAAGGGGAAACGTCTCCTGACGCTGTAAATAAGTGAAGCTCGGTCTTGAGACCACATCCTCCAGATAGGTATGAACTAGACAGACTAAATCTCAAAATTCACTCTTGACACAAAGTTTGTTTATCAATTTTCTTCTGGAAAAGTGTGATGTTTGTGAATTGGCAGCGTTCTTTCGTTAGTTGGGTTTTGGGCAAAAAAATAAATCGCACAAATTCGCGGCTAGCATCGCTGACAGTTCAGAAAGCTAAAACGTCAGCCTGCGATGTGCTCGAAGCGGGCAACTGCTGCATAAAACGTAAAATGTGCCAAGTTTCAGAAATAATTGTTTGTGTTTATCTTGCTGAACTTCACGACTATACCGGCAAGTAGATCCCGATGGTGAAATCATGTCGCTGTCCGTGCACTTGCTGCTGTGCTAGATTCCTGAGATTACGCGTAAAGACGGTCACCAAATGGTAATAGCAGTTTTTTTTGTATTTATTATTGTTTAGCTAATGAGTGAAAGAGATGGGTTGCAGTACATCAGACTAGCGCAGGAAGAAACAGTCCAGCTATTCAGAATCGGTTTGATAAGTAAAGAGGGTGTGTCACTTAGTATGGATACCAAATGCTAAAATTCTGCTATAAAGGTCGCTGGTCGCTGATCAGCATGACTTGCGGTTTCTCTTTACGACCAGGGTTCAGCCTTTTGAGACGTTTTCTCGTACTATTTTTGTTTGAAGCCGGTAGGTACAGATAGTAGTTGTGTATTGGGGCGGCGAGTAAGATTCTTTACGGTCTCGAGTTGCAGTAAACGAAACTGAAAATGTTTAAACGAACTTCTTAACATTCTTCTAACCACATGTGCTGTCAGTTTATTATAAAAGCGTATAGTTCTGGTGCATGACGTTGGAGTCGGTTGGCAACAGGTCACATAGGGTACGGATATTGGAAGTTTTCAGCTATAGTGAAAGGATAGTATTGTGATAACCGTCTTAACAACTGAAACACTTAGCAATTGGAGTCCTAACTTCCATTTCGATACCAATTTAAATTAAATTCGCTTAGTTTAGCCAAGTCGATTCATAATGCTGGTATTTTAACACTATCTTGTAATACTAATAGGAAAAAATCTGATTACTATAATGAGGCAAGCACAAACTGCTAAACCAAGTGCTGTGCAAACAAAACAATTAAAGAGAATGGTGTAAACAATGTAGTTGACATCGTAGGGGCTGAAAGGGTGGTCAGGGACTAAGCATTTTAAGTGCTGTGGGTATTTCATTCCACCACCGAGGGGGCGTAGGGAGCGAGAATCTGGAGATTTCCGAAGTTCAGCTCTCACGGCAGTGTATTGGGCTCTTTAAAACAAAATTGAAAACGGCTATTCTAAGGAATATTTCTATATTCTCTATTACACTTCTATTTTATTTGCCTTATGTGTAAACACGATTAAATAATGAGTAAATCCAGAGAATAAATTACTTAAAACTTTTTGTGGGTCATATAGTGTTGTACACGGAGCCAGTCGGGGCGCTGTAGCGTGACGTCACCGCAAGCGAGGGTGTTTGGTTGGGTGTTCGCGTCACGCTGCCCGCTGCCGAGCGCGCGAGAACGGGTCTTTAGAAAAATCGACCGTTTACCGACGCTGACCTTTGCAAAATAAAAGACCATGACGCGGTCGAATAAAATATTAACTGCATGAGACGGCAGCGATTTTGCACCGGCACGCTGAAAGAGTCCCGTCACAACTGTATGATCTATTTCAACAAATGCAAAGGATTTCGCTTCCTTAAGAGTCGGTGATTTCTTTCATGCGTATGTAATAAGGCCGTAGGTTGGTGCTTTGTGGATGTTATGACGGCGAACTGTTTTTCCTTGGGCTACAGCTAACATTACAGTTGCATCTTCAGACAACGAAAACACTGTAGAAGTAGATCAAACATTTTTTTTTTTTGGTCACGACTAAGTTGTCACAGCATGTGGTCTGGTCCCGTCTACTCAACTCAATGACCCGTGCGGGTGTTTTGGCGACTCTGTATCTGTAACGCACAAGGTCCTAGATACTGACAGTCTAGCTAATTCATGATGAAACCTCAAACTTGGTTGGCAAAAACTCACCGGTTTAATCTAACCTAAACAGCGCATGAATTAAGTAAAGGGACTCGGATCCCATACAGGATTCGGGCGGTAAGCACCTGAGTCTCTTGCGTTTCAGCGACAAATGACATAACCATGCTATAAGAAACCTAAAAATAAAACTCCGAGTGACTTTTTGTCTGGAATTGTAAACTTACGTGCAAAATGTTTTGAGTTTTGGAGTTCATGAAAGATGTAGTAAGGATCCTAAAAGCTGTTTTATCAGAACGGGCTTTAAAAACTGTTAAGAATTTTAGATTGAGACTCTTCCCTGCAGGCTTCTATAGTGATGGTGTGTTCACTGAAAGCTCAGCTTGCCTAGACCTCTTTAATGAAACCTGTAGCAAGCAAGCAAGCTAATGATTTGTATTAGAACTGGTCATTGGTGTAAAAATAGGGCATTTTAAACTAAATGTCTGGTACTACTGATCGGGATATTGAAGATTATTTAAGAATTAAGACAGGAGTGATTGACAGTTCTTAATGTTTTGTGCATTTCAGCTAGAGGATGTCGGAGACGGAATTGGTTAAGAAGATGTTGCGGGCTGTGCTGCAGTCCAAGAAAAATGGGGTCTCTCTGTCACGGCTACAGTCCGAGTACAGATCTCTCACGGGGGAGTTCATCCCACACAAGCAGTTTGGATACCCTTCCCTTGAGATGTATCTGCAAAGTATCCCTTCAGTGGTGAAGATGGAGCGCAGCCGGACAGGAGAGGTGAGAGCTCCCAATCGTCATCGCAGTCACGCCTTGAAAATGCTTCACAGATGTAGGGGTCTTTCATGCCGGACTGACCTTTTAAATCTGTGCTGAGATATTGACAGTACATGTCCAGCTACACATGGAGTGCCTGTTCTTTACACACAACTCAAGTTAGATTTATAAAGTCGATAATTCTTATAATGAAGGCCTGTGATTTCTTGCACTACCATCCTAGATGGACTAGATTAAGCATTTATGTTTAAAATGGTCAGATCCCTGAAGGAACAAGATTTCTATTTTAAAAACATTTCTGAAGTAGAAATGTTTTCTCGGTTATGAGGGATGTAGAACACATTTGTTTCTAAACTTTTGAAAACATGCATTTTGTAAATGGCGATTTTGAGGTTGCTTATTTTTGGTGAAAGATTTAAAACTAATTCAGAACAGGCTTTGTGTTTTAAGCACTTAAATATGGTACTTGGTAAGATTTCAAAACTGAAGGTACGTAGATGCGGCTGTATTGAGGTTGTCTGTTGGTGTAATGCGGAGGTAATTAATTGGACTAGAATAAATAAGATTATTGGAAATTGGATTTAAAAAGGTACTGTACCTAATCCTATATGAAAAATATAGGCTATCCTGTGGAGTTGGAAACATTTATTTTTGTGCAGTGGATGTGAAAAATGCAAGTTCCTTTTTGTTTTTTGTATATTTTAACATAATAGCCATTTTTTATGAAAGGCTTGTAGTGAGAGTGACTATTCAGGCGTTTCCATGTGGTCTTGGTGCTTTTAGATTTAATATAAGGAAACCATGTACATGCCTATGATTCTGTATGGACACCACACTTCCTCCCGAATTAACTTTGATTACTCCAACAGAATGTTCTTAAATCAAGATCACTTTTCTAACTACGTGACTAGTGGGGGGTGTTTCATTTAACTTTTTGAAATTGCTTGTGCTCCAGCACGGCGACACAGTGGTGAATGTTGCTAACTTGCAGTGCTGATGCCCTGGGGTCAGTCACACAGTCTGCATGGAGTTTGAATGCTCTCCCTGTTTTTGCCCGGGTTTCTGTGGGTGCTCTGGTTTCCTCCCACAGTCTGAAGACCTGCTGGTAGGTTAATTGGCTTCTGTTAAAAACTGGTGTGTCTCTGTCCCTGCAATGGACTGATGTCCCATCCAGAGTGTATCCTATGCCTTGCACCCACTGGTTTCCAGGTTAGGCTCTGGCTCCATCCATGACCCTGTACTGGATAAAACTGATTCGAAAGTGAAACGATGTTCTCAAACTGTTGTCCAGATTAAATTTAAGTTCTTTTTACACATTTAACTATTACCTAACTGCCTCTTTTGTTAACATTGCCTCTTGCTACAGTAGCATACTATAAACTTCTGCATAGCTCAGATTAAAGTAATGACAGCACAAATGGATCTGTTCCAAAGGAGAGCATTCAGGAGGCTTGTTTATTCCCAACACGGTCTTGGTGCACTGGAACATGGAATGGTGTGTGTGCATTGTAAGAAAGTGTTAAAGTTTGATTATTAAATGCCTGTTCTAATTTTTTAGATGGAGGGGGTTCTGAGGGTTTGGCATCTATTGCTTTTTTTATAGGTATTTTGTTTGCAATGCACAAATGTGTATTCCTAATCATAGTGAAGATTTTTTAAAGTTGCACTTCTAATTTGACATTTGTGTTTCTTTGCTATAGAATTAATCAGCCCTTTATTGTAGCAGTACAGTGGTATTTTAGTTGAATGTATGTTACAGCATCCCAGTTGAATTTCAGTTTCTAGGCTATCCTAAAATTCCAAGCCCTGGTGCTTAAATTTAATTGGATCCAGAAGGATGTCTATAGTCTAATTTGTTGTACAAGTTTAATGATGAATTTAGTAATTGGCAGAGTACTGCATGGGACTTGAATTGAATACGTCTCACTGAAAGCTCATGAATTCTAAAATATTGGTAATGCACAAAGCCTGCAGAACACTAGCAACGGAATCAAAGAATACTGAAATGTTACTTGTGGTCAATAAAATCATTAAGTATTTTAAATTTCTGGTAGGTTTTGAACAAGAATCTTTTTTTTTTCCTCCATATATTCTGTCTTGGTTTCCCAGAGATCTTCTACATTTCTATGCATCTCTAAAGTAGTTTTCTTTAATAATGGATAGAGACAGACTCCCCCTACTCTTGACTAGAACTTCAGTGCCTCTGAACACCCCTGTGTTACTCTGCTACTCAGTGTATAAAATATAAAATTGCTCCAGCTAGAATATAAACTGTTGCAAAAAATCTTCAAAGGTATGGAAGATGCAAAGCAATATTCTTCAAGACCAGTGGGACTGGAAAGGTGTTACCCAGAAAATTCAGTATGTAGATTTTTGACTTAAATGACTAGCAACTTTTCCTTCAGCATGAGGTCCCTGCCCAGTGCGAAGGATTCCCAGATAGAATTGGTCATCTGTTCTGCCGACTCCACTTCCATCCTTTCTGCAAAATGCTCTCCTAGGATCTTATTCTGTTCTGCGTGGTTTGAGACCATGTTCTAATTTAGACTCCTTTAAATTCTGGTAAGATAAAAGCTGAAAACAAATTGATCACTGCAAATACCTGCTGACTGAAATAGTCAAGAGTAGAGAGAAGATAAGATCACTTTATTGGCCATATACAATTTCTTTTATTAGGAATTTATTTTTCACATACCCCAACTTGCTCTGAGATACACACAGAGAGAGAAGCTTGGGGTCAGAGCGCAGGGTCAGTCATTTTTACGGTGCCCCTGGAGTAGTTGGGGTTAAGGGCCTTGCTCAGGGGCCCAACGGAGTAGGATACCTCCGCCAGCCGGGGGATATGAACCTGCAACCTTCCAGCCACAGAGCAACTGCACCGTCCCTAGTAATAGTGTAAAGCCCCTAATGTAGTGTGCCATCTTCCATACACAAACATGTCTTGAGCTCTCTATCCTCCACTCCCCTCACTGATATGCCTTGAAGTGCTCTATCTTGATGTGAAGTGCAGGCTAAAGGCTCCATAGCTAATGCAAACAGCAAACTGAGATACTGAGCAGCCCTGCCTCAAACCAGAAAAGACTTTAAAAGACTGAGATGTATAGTAGATCACTACAATTCTTCCATTGCTACATATATAGATAATCAGTGATTTAAATTGGGCCAAAGTCCCTTTGTTCTAAAAGGGATCTGAGGTACTGTTAGTTTTGGCAGAGCAAACTGTGTATATTTTAAGAGGAGACCTGAAATAAGACGAGGGAAGAGAGAGGTCCTCCAGGTATAGACAGTAATATGTCAATAAGGCCGGGTTGTTGCTCATTAGATGCCCTGCAAGCCCACATGCCTGTTTTTCCCCTAGTGATTAGAAAGGGGCTTTGGACAGGGTCATACTGTTTACACCTAGCAGTCTGAGGGGCCTCCAGTTATTGATGTCATTTTGTCATCTCTTAAATGAGAGATGGTGCTCCCTTTAAGCGTCGAGTCCAACTTTGAAGCTTTTGTTCTACAATAATACTCTTACAGTACTAGGTCCTTGGATAACAACAGGTGCTATGAAAATTCTTTTGGGAGTCCATCAGTGCCAGGAGTAATAAAAGAAGCATTCAACAAACGGAACACACCATAGATCTAAAGACAAGGGAGAGACGTGGAAGAAAGAACATTACCATAAACCCCCTTTTCCTTTTTTTCCTTACCACTACTGAGTGAGTACCTTGTTGTGTTCATTCTAGGAGAATGGGTTCTGGTATTAATGTTTTAATGTGTAATCGTGAGGGGTAAATAAAACTTGTGAAATTGCTTTATTGTAGAATCTTCTTCACTTTCAATAATTGCTTATCCAATTCAGCGTCATGGTGACCTGAGCCTGTCTAGGGAAGCATTGGGCAGAAAGACCAATTAATCTGGGAGCACCTGGCAGAATCCCACATGATCATGCAAATAGCACCCAAGAAATCAGACCCAGGGCCCTAGCACTGTGGGGCAGCAATGCCAACCACTGTGACCCCATGCTGCCTGATGTAGAGTCCTCAGGTCAGGTTCCCATTCTGTTTTGATATCCATGTTGAAGGAGGAGAGTGTTTCTTGGCCTGCCTGGTTGGTATTTGAATTACAAGGTTAGAATTCTAGGATTTCTATGGCTGTAGGATGTAGACCTTTGGTAAGCATTGATTTGTACATGTTTGTGGAATGTCTTGTCAAGTTTAAGCCTGATTTATTAATCCATCACAAGAGCTGTACCTATTGAATGAACTTGCATGCCTCACATTGTATGTAATGCTTGGGTTATCAAATCACTATAATTTGTTATAAACAAAACTTATTTGGGTGTTTTAATCTTGGCTTTGCTCAAAGTGCATAGCGCAGGTGCCTTTTCCTGGCAGGATTTGATGACAAAGAGCTGATGCTCGTTCAGTTCCTCTCGCACAATTTCTAGTTTTAATGACTGTGAACCCTCATAGCTGTGCAACAGGCCACACTCTTGCACGTCAGACGTGCAACAGAATGCTTTGGTTTCTTCATACAAACTAATAAATTGCATTTCTTGTTTCTCATGTGAATTTTCCAAACGTTTTGCAGCATAGCAACTAATATCTGGAGGAGTGCTGGTGGACCGCTCCACAATGTACGCGTTGTCCTTCCGCAGAGGACCAGTTGGTTGCACACCTGAATGAGGGCTGTTCTTAAAGTCTGAAATTGGTACTGGGTTTAATACCCATTATAAACACTTCCACCTTATAACGGCTGAAAGCAGACTTTTAGCCCTTTCCAAAACCATATCCATTAGCCTGCAATGAAGAACTTGGGTTGAGCAAAACCAGAAGATTGTTTCTCCAGAACTGGGATTGGGATCTGTTGGCCTACTTCTAGTGAAATGCTTGTTTGCAGCCACTGTTGGTGCCTTTTGTGTAAAACTAAAGCTAATATCACTATAAAGAGACCATTTTTAAGTTGAACCAAAGTATACATCTAGGGTACACTTGGCCAGTCAGAACCTTTTGTCCTCATTAGAAACTGCGGTGTCTGCTAACATCCTCAAGCCTCCGGTTTACATTACAGCTCCAGTTAATAGCACTGGAAATCTCCTTTAAAGCGCTCCGCCCTTTCTTGTTGTGGTTTTCATGTTAGCATTTAGGGTGTGACAGTCATAGCTCAGTTAACTTTTTGGACAGTGGAAGTTTACTTTTCTGGTATGTTGTTCGTCTGTAAATTTTATAAATGTTGATGTGCATAGCAACAAGGTGACGCTGGTCTTCTTTTATAAGAGAACTGAGCTATGATTTTAGGGAAATCAGCGGATGCAAGACCCAAGCATGTCTGTTGGGTGTTTTCTCATTCTAGTACTACAAACTTGTGTAAATGTTTAGGAATGCTACATTATTAGCAGCTCAGCTACTCTAGGTATAAGTCTGATCATATTTATTGGTACAGCTTATTTACCCTGTTTCAAGACCAATTAAGGTTCAGTTAGGGCAAACTTCCCCTGAACTTTGATGCTTTCATCTGTTGGGGTGTAAAAAGTCAGTGGTGTGGGTGGATGACCAGCGTAGAACTCCAGAACACTTGATTTTGAGGTGTAACTAGACTCATTACAGAATCTAAATACCTCTTAGTCATATTGAGACATTCTACACAAGTGGGTCTGTTGAACTCAAGTGTTTCTTGAGTTCATTTCTTATGCAATAATGCATCTGTGTACATAATGAAGTGTGTTTTGATTAGTTCTGTCTAAAGTCATTCTAAGCAAAGATTGATTAATAAGATGGTTTGTTTTTTTTTACATAAAAACCCCCAGCAGCCATATCACTCCGCAACTCACAACTGGCAACCCACTGAAGCTCAGCAGGGGTGGGCTTGGTTAGTACTTTACAGGTAATGGGGACTCCCCTCCACCACCACCAATGTGCAGCTCCACCTGGATGATGTGACAGCAGCCATAGTGCGCCAGAACGCTCACCACACATCAGCTATCAGTGGGGAGGAGAGCAGAGTAATGAAGCCAATTAATAGATGGGGATTATTAGGAGACCATGATTGGCAAGGGCCAATGGGAAATTTGGCCAGGACGCCGGGGTCACACCCCTAGTCTTTTCGAGAAACGCCCTGGGATTTTTAATGACCACAGAGAGTCGGGACCTTGGTTTTACATCTCATCTGAAGGACGGCGCCTGTTTACAGTATAGTGTTATACTTTGTATGAAACAAATAACAAACAGCAAATGCCTTTTGCAACATTGGCACAAATGAAAGTATATTTAAGCATCTCACCCAAGTAAGCTCAAAACTTCCTAATTTATATTGGTCTGTTTTTGCTTCTGGTAATATGACATTGGCATTTCATTGGGCGAGCTTATCTGAATGGAAGCCAGATGACTACTTTACCAGGTTGGAGATTCTCAAATAACTAGGTCATATTACAGAGATGAAGTAGCAATGTGCCTGAAAGAAATAGGAGTTAATATGGGAGAGAGCAAGTTACAGCCCACCTTTGTCTCTAATTGCTGCCTGATCAGTAACCCGTCTTTGAAGTGAAGGGTCTTAATTTATGGAATGGATCTGTGTTTTTGTTTTGGTGTGACTGTTTCCTTTTAAAATCCACTAGACATTCTGCCACTCTTGTATTTTTGGAAGAGGCAGCCTTTGGTGGGTTACTTAGCTTATTAAGGCTGTTTTGCTCTCCACGTCTGAGTACATTGTGTATCTCATGAGAACGTTGGATTTAAAGTAATGGGGTTTAAAATCTGTTGTATTGTTTTAGGTTTCATATAGTAAGCTAATGCCCAATTTCTCCACTATTAGATAGTTAATGGAAGGTTAAATAAGGCCTACTTTTATTGATGACTATTGTAGTGAAATTGTCATGCAGTGATGAACTATTTGTACACCCTACAAATGGTGCCAAGAAGATGAGTAATCTAAGATTATACTTGTAATCCTATTGGTGCAGTGGTGTTTGTTATTCTGGTGTTGAACACTGGTCAGCTCTGTTAATAATGGTAGCAGCATCTGGAAGGTTCCCCACTACAAAGCACTGTGAAGGTGGGATAAAGTGAGACGGAAGTTAGCTGAGTAGAAGTGGTGGTTGAAAACTTCCACAAGATGTTCCTATCTAAACCAAGAGGTCCTAGAGAGCAATGATTTCTGAAGATGTGGGATATTTAAACTTGGCTCTCTTACACAAGTGACTCATTTAGCAAATGATAAGACACTAAAGCCCCCAAAATTGCAGATGCCTTAATTGAACAAATTACTTGCTTAACTGAAAAATACTTTACAAGTGGTCCTAATCTTTAGAAGGCAGGGTTGGTCTAGATGAATGCCTGCCCTCTCTATGTAGAGGGAGACGGCTTGTGACCCTGAAGCAGCTGCAGTAGACAAACTGACACCATCTTCCTTAAGAAATATCTAAAGCATAATGCTTATATACATATTTTGAAAACCTATCTTAACATTTGCAAAATTGAGGTTTTCTTTGGCATCTGCTGTATAGTCATAGTTCAATGTGTGGCCTTATGACTCGTGCTGCTATAGACCAATGCTCCTCTGCGCAAATGTTAGGAACTTTGAAACCCTTAAGCTTGTTGCACAAGAAAGTATCTGGTTCCCTCCTTGTGCTACTCCTTTCTCAATGGTGAAGTGCACAGATTAGTTAAGGGTTTTTCTGTAAGAAGTGTGTATGAGGGAGAAGTTAGGAGCTGGATGTGTGCAGTCTGGTTGCCCGCCAACTAAAGCTTCTGTTTTTTCCAGGCGACATGCTTTGCTGCGGTCTGTAATGAGACTGCACACATTGCCCAGCTCGTGGCTCGGCAACGCAACTCTAAGAAGACTGGTAAATCGCAGCTGGTGAACTGCCAGATGAGGGTGAAACCTGCTACTCCATTTATGCCAAATGGTAAGTTTGTGACCTGCTGTCTTACAGGTCTACCCCCCCCTCATCTTTCTAATTAACTTGGTCAGTTCTACAACTTATCCTGGGCGATGTTCTCCAGTACTGGAGTATTGCTAGTCATATGCTATTGGGAGAGTTTTTTCCCCCAGTTAACCCTAGAACACTTATTTGCAAAACAAGACAAGCTGTATCTCTTTTTGGTAACTGAATGTTTTCCTTCATCGGTCTCTCAGGCGCTGGTTATAGGTAGGTGATGCTGATCAAAAAGTCCAGTTAACTTCATTTGAACTACATTTTAGTCCCAGCAGTTTACCAACTGGTGAATGTGAACATGGGGGAGGGGGGGGTGTATTTCTGCCAGTTGTTGAATGAAGAGGTGTGATGTATAATAAATCCAACTATAACTGACGAACATTGTGGACTTGGAAGGTAATAGTTGTGATAAATTGGGATGTAGTGAGTGCTTGCATCTTAAAGGAGTTATGTGGAAAAATAAACACTGAAAATACAGAATGCATCCAGTGTAGTGCACGAATGCCAAGGCCAAGTTAAGAATACATGGAGAGCACAGGTGGTATGACAGGTCTGGCAGATCTGTGGCAAGCCGCAGGAGTTAGTTCAGTGTATGCAGCATTATCAACCATCAGAACCATAAACTTCAATGGCTGCATTTTGGACAACTTCTCTCTCTGGAATTACAAATGTTCTTTGTACTTTTTTATATAAAAAAAAATGAAAGCTTGACCCATTTCATTGTTCCTCTGAGGAGCTCGGTACTGTACAAGGAGCTCCAAGAATAGCTGCTGCAGATTAGGTCAGACATCTGTATCCTACTTTTTTGCTGTTTTTGTTAGCTGGGACATTGATTGCAGTCATGTCACATTAACAAAGAAAAGAGCAAAAGGAGGTTTGTTTTTTGTACCTGCATTGGTGAGGCTATACTGGGTAATGTGCGTTAGGAAGGTAATAAAATGTTTTTACAGTGGTGTGAGACACTGATCCTGCTATTTCAGTAGAACAGACTCTTTCTGAGTTTATCACTTGAATAAATTGTCAAAATCAATGGATAATCTCCCACTGCCCCTGCAAAATATCCAGTGGGCGTTTTCTGTAGTTTTAGAAATGTTCTGGTACCCATTTGATGACGTTTTTGTGACGGCTTCAGTGTTAAATAAAATATGATCTTTGTTTTGAATGTCATGCCCTCAATGTGTCCCATATTTAACATGAAAATAAACCACTTGTGACAGAAACTTTAACAATAAGATGGTTACATTTAAGATGACTTGGCTGTGCATTACCAGGTTAGAAATTCCTGGATATGAACAAACTCCCCCCCCCCCCCTCAGATTGACCGTGTACAAATTTGATCACGTTCCATTTTCTATAGCTGCAAAATTAATATGAATGTATTCCATTGTTATAGTATTACAATTCAAGTGAGGAAGCACATTTTCATTATAAACATCAGAGCTTGGCTCCATATGTTAAAACCTTCATTGTCTTGTAAAAATGTTCAAAGATCTTTACAATGATGTCATGTAAAGATAAGTGAATTGTTACCGAGGTTTCTGAATCACTTGAAGAGTGGCACAGCCAAAGGTTGGCCACCTTTCTCCGTTGCCAGATTGAATTCTCATCTGCATGAGTGCCATTGAATGTTCTTGTAGATGGATACTTTATTGATCCCGTGAGGGAAATTTGCAGAATTTGCTTGTTAAGAGGCAATCCAACAAGTTAGATGGGCTGATTTGTAGATGCTCAATGATCCAAGGATCACATTTTGTATGTAAAAAGGCAAATGTACAAACTATCAAATGGACTAATGGAACTGCTCCACTGTCGACTTGGATGCTCCAAGCATTTTATGGATCACATAAGTAGCTGTGTCGAGGTTTTCCCAAATGGCTGTGTCCTTGCATCCAGCTTATCAAATTTAATATTGCATCTAGTTTGTTTCTTGAGGAATTTGTGAATACAAATTAGTGAGCCTTTTTACACACCATATTTGTATGGAATAAATCAATAAAATGTATACATTTGTTTTCCATAAATTAACAGTTAAAATATTTGCAATATCCATTTTAAAGAATGTCTATTTTTTTTAATGGTTCATTATAAGTGATTTTAAAAAAATACACCCAGCTTACTTGACACGTTTTTTGAGTCATTAGGGTTGAGGTGCATGGCTAAAGTTGCTTCACGAAACCGGCATGTCTTATGAAATGAATTTCAGTCACATTTTATTCCCATGTGCTGAATTCCTGAAATTTGGGTTTTATGGTATAATCCCTCACACTCCAAGTACAAACCCAATACGCCCATCAAATGAAAATTCCACAGAATTCCTTATCAACACATTTGTGCGCAAATTCAACTTTACACAACCTATAAATCATACATTTCTAGACATGACTTTGTTACATGCATAAAGACAAGTAATACAACAAGTTTTGTTTTTTGTTTTTTTACCCCTGGCCAGATTTGCAAGGAGTAAGTGTAATGTGATCTTCAGTAGAGCTGTTCAACACTTTAGTGTCACTTTGCTTTAACATTTTCTCTTGCTCTTTCACTGAAATTTGTAACCCCTATTGCAATCATATAAGGGAAGCACCCAAGTTATTTTATGTATTGTGGGTTTCATTACTGAACAGTACAGTGTAGGGTTAATGAAATATACAGATGAGGTTCTGAACTGTGGCATCTGATTTCAGAGTAATAAATACATAAGTACTTGTCCAGTCTACACAATAGGTAAGGGACAAAATTCAGCTATAACGCATTTTGCAGAATTCTGTATAATGCTACTTCTATTTTTTTTTCTTCCAAAATTCCTCCATATCTTTGGGGGGGGGGGGATCAATAGGGATTGCTAATGGCCTGTAATCTTCAAGTCTTGTTATAAATATTCTGTTGCTTTTGTGCCAGTGTACTAACCAGACCATGCAAGGACATTCATTCTCCTTTCAATACAATACACAGAAGTAGTGCTTTGCATTTGGACCAGAAGGCTTGTCTTGTCAAACCATAAACCCTTTTGCAGTATATATCTCTTACTAGATTTAAGGTTAGACCTTGCATAAAACTTTTAAAGTTGCTTTGGACTTCATAGTGACGTTTCTGACCATTTGTTTTCCCCTGGTTGCTCGATTTGGAAAGATGGCCTGGGTTATATGATACACATTTTTCTGCACGCGTACCATTTTACACTTGGTTCGGACGTTCTTTGGCCATCTTGATTGGCTTGTTGTATCACTTATGACTTTGAAATTTTAATATTGACTGAAGGAACTTGCAGTGACTGCATTTCATTTACAGTTAGCCATTATGTTAATTGTGACTTTTCAAACTTCCTGTGCATGCTGAATTATTTAAGGTTGTCAACACACAGCAGTTTTTTTGGGGGAAAACTACCAGTACTTTAATCTGTTTAGATTGTATAGACTAAAGTCTTTTTGAAAGTCCACATCATATGGAAAATTCTCAGGGTAATGAATATTTGTAGCAATGTGTATATAGTACTTTGCAAAATATTACAGTTCAGTGCTATTGATGAAAGGAAATGATCAATTTCCCTACGGGATTAATAAAGTATAATCTATCTATTCTTCAAAACTTTTGCCTAAAATTACTTCAATTGTTCATTTTATTAACTTTATTCACATTGGTTCTTTAGCAAAACCCAGGACTTCCCTGAGGCAGCCAGATCACACAGGACGTACCAATAGGAGCATGACTCAGCTGTCCATGGGAAGCAGGAGTGGAGTCTATGGGCAAGTCTTAACGAGAGATTTGCAGCCTGATGCAAAAACCGCTTTGATGAACCGGACCCCCACTGTTCAAATGCGGAAACCCCCGACAGTGAGTGAAAGGTGAGTTACGAATCTGACGAAGGTCAAACTTTAGTTCCCGTTGTACCAGATTAATCCCAACTGTTTTAACCCATTCACTTTTAAGAGGATCTAGTACCTAGCAAGAAATGCCAAGCATGACCTTGGAATTTAGTTATTTTTCATATTGTTTAATTAAGTTAAATTTACTGATAAAATGGAAGAATCTTAGTTGAATTGTAAGCCTATAGGATTTTGCTTTTGTAGCTTTTTTTTTCTAAATTGTACATATCCGGTGGCAAAAAACTTAAATAGATGTTTGTTTTGGGAGTGAATTTCACTTTTGAGAAACTAATCAGAATCGGATTTCCAGAGACAAGGAAAGTCATTTGCTTATTGGGTTGATTGTACTAGAGCTTAAATCGATTAGAATTACTGGGTGTTCCATAGGATCCTGGAAAGAGGTGCATTTTGTTTAGTAATGCAGCTTGTAAAGATCAATGGATAATTCTGGCTTGTCGGATCTTCAATTTACTAATTGGATCTCTCCTATATTGAGGATTAGCATTGCATTGTTTTCAGGTGGATGCTGCACATTGGTGGTGGTGGTGGTGGTGGAGGGGAGTCCCCATTGCCTGTAAAGAGCTTTGAGTGGAGTGTCCAGAAAAGTGATACAAGTGTAACCAATTATTATTGTATCCCCCTTCCATTAGTGCAGCATGTAAATGGGACTTGGTTAGGTTGGTTTATTATTTGGAGATTTTGGCATGGTGCAGCTGGGGAAAAACTATAAAAATGGGTTGTGCAGTGTGGCTGTACTTTTTCCATTTCATTCGGGTACAGGAGTGAGCAACTCTTGGCAAAACTGCAGTGTCTGTGACCATCCATAATGCAGTGTTTTTAGACCTTGAAACATCCTTTTGCTTTTAGGCCACAGCTTAGCTCAAGAGGAAAGGCTTTAAATGTTTGATCCAGCCTGTTCAACCTAATGAATTTTTCCAACCTACGTATTTATGTTGACGTTCTGTATTGTTGAGACAAATAACAAAGTGGAGAACAAAAATAGAAGCTACAGAGGGGAGTTGCCATTATCTTCTGAATGTGCTTTGATGTTGAATTAGTCAGACCTACTTATGTCCAGGTTTATACCAATGTTCTTAATTTCTTTTCTTAAACATTATTTGAATCTTGTAAAGAAATAAAGAGAATAAAGTCAATAATATAAACAGTGGTTGGTTAGGGTGAGTTACTAATGGTGGAGAAACAGTTTGCTTCCGATGTAATGGCTAAATCTGAATATTGACAATATTCAGGTGTTGACAAAAGTCCAACTGCCATTGGTCCAGTGATCAAATGGACACATGGTGGTCAATAAGCTAGCTGGTGGCAAGGTCTTGTTGAAGGCAGACCTTGGGCAGAATTGTTACATAAACATCAGGCAAAAATGTAGGAAAAAACCTTAAGTCCTATGGCTTTGGGAAACAGAAGTGGCAGTTGCATGGTGTTGTCACCTGGTCCCTTCTGTGGGAAAAATTCTTTTTTTAAGAGAGGCATGCAGTGCTTTTTAAGGTCACAGGGTACAGTGAATCTTTGCCCTACAGGTCCCTGATTGGTTGGTCTTGGTCACAGGTCTTAGCCAATCACCCAAAAGATCACCATTGTCTAGATGTATCTAAAGGCTCTCCACTAGACATCCAGGTGCCTGAAGAGGGCATCCATCATTAAAAGCATGGTGCTGGGTTGTGTCACTGTTGCGAGAGGCGCTCCTTATCGAGCAGCATTATCTTCTCTTCCATTCCAGCATGCAAGGATCAATAGGCTATTCTGAGGCTCAAGCAGTGAGGGGTGTCACTGAAAAGTCACAGCAACACTTAATTCTGTGGTTTGTTTGTTACTACAAAGATAATAAGCATGGACTGTGTCCTAAAATGCGGGAACTTTCTTCTTTTGGCTTTTTCCCCCCAAGTCTGAGGCACGAGACTGCATAAACAGAGAATGAGTACAGACAGATATTTGGACTCGAGCTTTTAAAGTTGGTGTTGGACTGCATCACATTTAGCTGCCCTGGACCCGTCGGAATCCAGGTTCTTGTAGCTTTAAGATCACGTCTTGCTGTATGATTGGAGAATCACGATTAATTGATATTTTATGTAGATTCCAGTAGCAAAATTCAGTGTACCCTATGGGCTGAATTTGTGAAAAGTAGTTTTGTCCTTTTTGATAATAAACCCAGGCTATTTCTGAAGGCATATCGAACAATTTGGTGTTAATCTAAAGGTGAAGAACGTTGTTAAATTTTAGGAAGGACAATCTGTGATAGGATGATTTGCCAAATTTTAAATTGGGAGCAAATCGATAAATCTCAAGCTTGGGCATTTCTCTTTTTCCCCCCACAAGAATTGTTCCAAGTCAAAATGAAGGTCAAGTTTGTTGAAGAGCCACACCTCAGTCTGCAGTGGTGGAAATCCCAGTTTGGGGCTAGAATCCCATGGCAGGGGTGCGCACTGTCTCATTCAGCAGTGCTGTGCAAGCACTGGGCTGCAGAGGCTTTTTTGGGTCGCCGTCTTTGCAAGCACAATCTGGCTTGGCCGGAAAAACAACTTACATCATCCCGCTGTTTTGTGTATTATTTGGATACCAAAAAGGGGTGTAGAGGGACAATAGAAAATTGCTTTTAGAGCTGAATGAGTGACTGGCTGAAAGCGTGAGAATAGTCCTTTAATCCTCCATCTATACAGCAGGGATTATCTATTGTTTGGGAGTTTTAGAATGATTCAGCATATCCGTATTAGAATGTGAACTATGCACTTGTTAAATGCATCTAAATTACAACATAAGTATCTCCTTTATTAGGATACTGGCTTCAAGGTCAGTGGTGGAGTTAGTATTGGCATAGGGTTCTTGTGCTTGCCACACAAAATATTACATAGCTGATATTACTCTGTGTAATACCAGAACTGCAGTGACTAATATGCCTGAGAAACAGGCTTTGTACAGAAGTTCACTAGTGATTTACTGAAATGGTCAAATGAAACACAACTAAACCACGTGGTAGTTTTTTTTTTTGCGAAGACCACTGCTCAAATGTACTGTGGATAAACCTGTGTGCTGATGAGCAAAAAACACCCTAAAATAGTATACTTTTCCCTGGGTTTTATATTTTTAATAAAATTAATATACCACTTCTGTAATTCAGAAGTTACAGATGAACAATTTGATACGGTAGTGTCATGAACTGTTTATTCCTTAACTTGAATTGCTTTATTCATGTGCATCTCATTTAATTTCTAATTGTTTTGTAGGTTGTTGACCAATATTAAATTACTGCTAATTTTTATTGAACAATATTAGTCGGTGTAGTTGGTGCAAATTTACTGTTCATGTTTTTCCACTTCCCTCTTTTTTCACACTGCATTAAAGCTGATGCTGTTTATGATTGGCAATACTACTTTAGCGTTTAATTTTTTTCCTAATTGACATTTGTTCTATATAAATACTGTAAGCCTTTTTCAATTTATGCCGGAGGTAGTTTACGGAACAGTACTTGCTGTCAGGAGTTCAGAGCCCCAGCTGCAGCTCCATGATTTGGCAATAACGGTATACTGTTGTATAATGTACAGCAGGTTTCTACTTGGTGTTAGTGTCCACTATCCTTGGGTGTTCTGGTTAATGTGGCACCAGCACCTGAAAGCATCTAACAAATGCTGCTTTAGATGCGTTATGATCTGGGGGGGGTGTCATGTGCAGTTCACTTGACTGCACCGCTCCAAGCCTTACTCAGTATTGAGGTATTCACCTAATAGTAGGTGGACAAAGAGGCAGGTAAACCGAGCTCAAAGGGGATTTCTGGTGGATAGGGGGATCATTTTATGGGACCCATGGCAGGTTTTTACCTGACATGTCGGTTGTCTTGTGTAACCCGGAGAGTGGGTGTAGTATCTTTTTTTTTTTTTTTTTGCCTGTTTAGGCCTTGCATAGTGTTTTCTAAGCCTGTATGACACAAATCGGTGGTACACATTTATCTATTGTAGAATGTTGTGCGGTTTTGTTAATTTACTGTTTGGCTCAGATTTATTAGTCTGTCCCTAGAACTGTGCCAGAAAATATAAAGAACTCATGGATTGTTCTTCCCCCGAAACACTCAAGTTTATATCCCGACTCCCGGCTATTTTGTGTTCTGTAAATTTGTTGAATTTTCTCAGCACTGTTAAATGGTTCTTTGTTGAATTGTCACAGACTGGTCTGAGACTTTATAATCTAGAATATTTGTGACTTATTCTTGTGCCTCTTTTAACCTGCATTTGTTTTTTAGACTGCATGCCAAACGCAAGCTGTGTATTTTACTTGTTCTAGTCCAACTTGGTAGCTGGAATCCTTTCAAGAAAAGGAAAAAAGGAACACCTTAAATTCCAATAATGATACAGTGGGCCTATTAAATGCAATATGGAAGTTATCCATTTTGAATTTTGGCAAGATATGCATACAAGGTGGACATCCATTTGGGGAATCCCTAGTTGTGAAACTTGGTTATTACTCCAGTCCTGTGACTTGGTATGCTTCAAACTGTTGACCTTCTGTTTTGTGTTCTTAACTTGCTTTCCTCTCGGGAGCAACACAGTGTTCTTGTTCTTTTTGCCCAAATTTACAAATGCTTTAACTGAACTGGGACCCTTCCTTTAGCTGGATGTGTTATTTAATCCTGCTTGCCTTTTAAGGAGGGAAATGCAGGTTAATGTCCTTTCACCGAAAGCGGGACATAAGCTTGTCCTGAACAAATGTCAAAATGTACTTTTAATGTATTTTTCAGGTCTGAGAAGAGAATGAATTTGCCTACACGGTTTCAAAAAGAATTGCACGCTCACCTTTCTAGGAATACCCAGCAGATCAACAGTAAGTGTCTCTTGTTTTGGAGGAATTTGAGAGCTGTAGGAGGCAGGCATGTGGGTTTTGGAAGAGCCCATAAAGCCTTTCCCTTGATCTTGTTTCTTTTGAACTAATTGTTTGCGTCATCTGTAAAGTTTGCTTCCTGTCTGTACTGCTTGAAACGCATCCCTTGACATATTAAAAAGAAATAATGGCATTCCTCAGTAAGTGATATTCAGGAAGGTGAAACTACAGTGCTGAATGTAAAGTAATTTAAAGTTATGTTATAATTTGCTTCACAATGAAACTTGTACCCTCATTTGTATATATTATAAAATCATTTCATGACTATTCTTCTCGTATATCAAGCAGTTTTAAAAATACAAAAAGAGTTGGGACATTACTACTTATTTTTATTGCCACTTAGTATAAAAGGCAAAAGTAGCATTTTTTTTTGTACTTGAAGTAATCTGGAGTAGGTTATAACCTTAATAAGCTATATGGACATACCCATGTTTACCCTAATTGATGCTAAAGAAAAAAGGGGAAATGGGATGGGGGTAACCTCCCCATGTTACAGGTGGCTTTCCTGTTGGCTTTTTCCGGTTTTGCTGCACATTTAATTAAAATGCATGCCAGTACTGCACTTTTATTATGACCTGTTTCTATAACAAAACGTAGAATATACTGTTCCTGCATAATACCATACCTTGCTTCTTGTTAAGTGGCAAATTAAATTGACTTGGCAAGGGGTCAAAAGAAAAGCCGAGCTGGGTGGCAGCCCTCTGTATATTACCCATTTCCTCGCAGGTTGTGATTCATTCTGTGAAATGAGACTTGTGGCTTCCACCATGAAGTCAGGTTTTAAGTGATCTTGTAACTTTTTTTTTTCATTTTCTCTTTCCCAGTTGACACGAGCATAACGGTTTAAAAATACATTAAATCATGTTTGTTCTGACAGTTTTTCGCTGCACTTGACCCAATTCAGAAAGCTTATGTTTTGACAAGTGTCTTGCACCAGTATGTATGATGGTGGTGACCTGCTGTTTTGTTAACTTGTTCTCCTCTCAGGAGAACCATAGCATTCTTGCATTGTTTATTTGAGCAAATGTACTGATGCCTCATATGAACAAGAAATGCTTAATTCAAAGGGTTTTTCTTTAGCAAACATGTTTTGAAGGGTATCTTTTCTTAATCCTGTCTCAGGTGACACTTATTCCAGTGTCTTGGAGTCTACTGACTTGCTTTATTTTTGGGCTCTCCAGCTAACCTACAGGAAAACATTGGGACGGGAAAGTCAAAAATGCCTCAGTCCAGCACCTATAATGAACAGGTAGTCCAGGCCCATCTTAAAGAGATATTGAGCAAATACAGCAATGGATTCTGGGTCTCCAAGCTGCCTCAGCTATACCGGGAGCTGTACCACCAAGAGCTACCAAATGATGCCCTCAAGGAACTAGAATTCTGGACCCATGTTTGCATAGTAAGTGTCATTTATCAGCTTTCCTTAGGGGGGCAAAACATTTACAAGCAAGTAGTAGTCCGAGGTAATTTTTTGGGGTCTTGAAAACTGTTTTATAGTTCTTAGTTTTGGAATGAAATGAGAACTACACATGAATAAGCAATAAACGTTCAATGGATTGCCACTTCACACAAACTTCTATACATGTGAAGAGAAGTGAGCTTTTAGACAGGTGTTTCTCACTCTTCCATTGCTGTCCACTAAGAGTGATGATCTGCATTTTGTCTGTGGGATTTTTATTAAATTGGTAAAACCTTTGCTAGTTATTTTGGTATTGCATGGTGGTGGGAGTGTAATGGTTAGATTCTGGTGAATGTCAGGGTATCCTAGACTTGAAGCTGATCAAAAGTGTCTTTTCCATTAAGACAATGATCCTAGAGCTCTGAGTAGATCTACAAATTTAATTTAGAAAAAATCAGTGTTTTACAGTGCCTTTGTCAGTCTGGACATAAACATAAAAATATGGCCGGACATAAAGTGAGCTATCTGTGCATGGCAGCCTTCAAATGTCACATGTCAATGTTGAAGGAGGTGTATACGCTGGAATGGGCAAAAATTCCTCAAAATCATTGAGCCTGGTCAAATGTTGAAAGTGACATTGGCTCCTCAAGAGGGTGCCACTAGTAACTGGACCTAAAGGTTCACCTAATTTGTCAAGAGGATATTTAATTTATTGGGACTTAGATGTAAGATTTCAAATATGGAAAATCTAAAACTTTTTCTCAGCACAGAAATGGAAGTATTTCTGAAGCCAACCCTATTGAAAATGCCTTTCTGGCTTGTCATCTAGGTGGAGAAGCCTGGTAGCACCAATTCATCAGAATTGCTTCTGTACCCTGCCAAGGACACAAAAGCAGGCTCAGTCACAGCTAGGAAGTCCCCTGCCCTGGAGAAGCGGGCATCTCCGGCAAAGCCTGACCCTCCCGTCTCCCCTCAGTCTGCAGCAGTGGCCCCAGAGATCAGACTGAAACTGACAGACCTGTTGGCAAAGTACAGCAATGGACTCTGGGCCCATGCCCTCCCCAAGCTATTTCAAGACACTTACAAAATGAAATTTCCAGAATATATTCTCAATGATCTCTCGTTGCTTAGTGATGTGTGTACTATTGACTATCCCATGCCTGACAATACACAAAAAGCCATCTTGTATGCACGAAACACCGAGGATGAGAACCAGAACAGGCTTGATTTCAAATTGCCCCAGGCATCTGAAGCATCCAAACCACAATTCAGCACAGTGACTGTGCCCCTGCTGGTTATCCCGAAGGAGGAATACCCTTCAGTCCTGTTGGTGGAGGCTAGCAACACAAATGAAATTGTTTTAAGGCAAGCAGTATTAAATGTCAACCATGTATGATTGCTTGGACCTAGGTTTGCCTACTCTATATTGCATTGCTTTCCTTAGTTGAATCCTGCTCCCCCTTTGATCCCTTCATTATAGAATGTGATGCCACTGGAGTGCAGTCATTTTATGCAACCTTTAGTAGGTGGGTCTTGAGACAAACTCTCCAAAGCAATGATATGATTTAATGGCGCTTTCAAGTATACAAATGTCAAAAGAGCAACAAAAGTATAAAAGCCTAGCTCATGGGTGGAGCTTCTACCCCACTTTCCCTATAACTAAATATCAAGGTTGTTATTTTGCCCCTAATGTGCAAAAAGTAAACCTCTTGCTGTTTTTCTAAAAACATAAGTCTTCATAGTCTGAATCTTGGTTTCTGTTTTGTTTTCCTTTTCTTAAACGTCTCTTCCTCCTCTTCATCTGGGTTTTCCACTCTCATTTTTCCCACACTCTTTTCCATCTCCATCTCTTAAGTATAGTGCTTAGTTTTTCTCAGTTCTTTTGTTCATATAGCAACATAGACTCCAGACAAAAGGTAAGCAATTGACGTATCCTTATATGATTACAGTTAATTATTTCAGTATATCAAGTCCATTTTTTAACAGATGTTGGATTTTTCTACTCGGTCACTGGCATAGAGTTGGTTCAAACATCTTTTGCAGTGTATAGCATATTCATGTGCGCCCCTGCCTTACTGCTGATTTATACTGTCTGCACCCATACCCAGTTCCAGACATGAAACTGCCATCTGAATCTCTCTTTCTGTCTGCATTCATTTTACTGACGTCAAAAACATCTGAAAAATCCCATGACCCATTTAAGTAATGCCCTTCTATCACACCCCTAGTGGCATCACAAAAAGTTGAATTTTATTGTGTGCATTAAGGATTTTAATTTGCTTCCATGTGATGTAACTGCTTCATACCGTGTGTTCATTGTATATGCTTTGTATATATGATCTCCATTCCCAAGTGGGAAACAGTCATCAGTTAAGCAACATGCAATCATGCATTGAACTTACTAGCTGCATTCAGAGTGAGACCTATGAACCAGTGTTTTAAAAATTCTTGCTATAAGAATCACTTTTGGACTTGATTAAATGTTTTTATTTTTTTTAAATAAAACTGCATTTGAAGCCTTGATTAGTCTTTATTACTCATCATAGTTAACTGTATCCCAAATACAGCCTTGTACAATTTTTTTTTAAGAATCTACATAAGTGCTTTATAGAAGTATTCCCCACTTCCAATGATTTAATTTTCTTGAAATACAAATAGAATATTTTGAATGCTTAAACTGAGCTATGTGTGGAAAGTTCCTTGGTGAATTCTGGTGTATAGCATAGAGCATCTTTTATATATTGTAAGGATCCTTTAAGTAAACTTGCATATGGTATTGGTTTTTAAATGACCTGCTTTCTAGTTTGTGGTAGGCTTTGATTACTATAGATGAAAGTGGTTTGCTATAAACCCATGTTTTGTTCTGTAATTCTTGTAGATACATTGGCGAAGGATACTCACAGTCCTTGGAGGCACTTGAAGACAAAATGAGGGAATTTTACAGTGAGGAAAAGAAGTTTTTGCAGTCCCCGGCTCCTGGGAATCTTGCAGCTGTCAGAGCTGAGGAAGAGGATGAGATTTTAAGAGTTAAAGTGTGTGAGGTGATGGCTGATGGGGTGAAGGTAAGGAAACGGTTTTGGAATCAAACTATAATTAGGTACAAGAGAAACTTTGCACCAGGTTAAAATTCCATTGAAGGTAGTGGATTTTTCACAAGGGTAAGAAAGTCCATTTGAATTGCAGACTCATAGACCATTTATTTTCTAGTACAATGGGTTCGTGTTGTACATGACTTTAAAATAACAGCATATACCTTAAGTGTAATTTAAACAAAACACGCCGCATAGTTATGCCATTGGCTGCTCATGGTGTGAGTGTTGCGTTGACACATTGGGAATACTGGTACACAGTGATTGCTGTTGAGAAGTTCCCTTTACACTAAAAATAACTGATGCTTATTAATATTTAATGTATATGTGTCTGTGTAAACTATTTATACATTACAAGTTGATGTAAGCACGTCCCCTCAATTGCATTGGTAGGGTGTAAGTAGGGTCAAACTTGCCCATGAGGAACACAACTATAGCATTTAAATAGGAAAAATTGTTTACATTTATGTGACATTTAAAATGCATGTGGCTTTCCGGAACGCAACCCTCTCATAAACTGAACTCTCTGTACTCGGAGAGCATTTCAGCACCCTAGTAACTTTAAATTTTGCTCTGCAATGTGGGAAGTGGTTTCTGTTGTCATGATGGTCAGTAAGCCTTTATCAATCGCCTCATCCCTGGAGCATGTACAAATCTTCTAGGACCATACAGTACATCCTGTAAAGCAGCCATAAACATTTTAGTGGTTGCCTCTTCAGTGTACAGGCTTATCTTGGTGTTTACGCAGTATCAGATTTTGATCCTTGCGTGTAAAATAGGACAGTCTGGGGAAAAAATCCTGGCATTGTCACCTTTGCACACAAGCTGCTGAGAGATTGACCTTCCATTATTGAAATTTTATACAGCAGCCTTGGTAATAGGAAGATCATCCAGTGGCGAAGGTGTACTGGACTGAGCTTCAGTGGAATAAGTAAAATTAATTACGTGGTGAAAGACGTTTTCTGATGACATGATGAATTTAAAATGGAACGGCAGGTGTCTCTTCCATCTTTGCTCATAACTGCAAATCCTGCAATCAAACATGGGGGGGGGGAGTGTTGGCGGCAGCAGCCTCTGACCAGCCCACCTCCAAGCATCTTATCTTCCAACACCTCACATGGTATTCTGCCTATGCCAGAGGTTCAGCGCTAACCGAAGGAAATGCATGTCCCTCACTAATTCCACCAAAAGGCTGCTGGACTGTTATTGCCAAGAGTCCCTCAACCGAGTAACTTCATACCGCCCTTGGTATACAACCTGGGCTTGGACCCTTCATAATGGAGCTCACCCTGTGCTTGGGCAAGCAACTTAACTCCACCTGGGAGACCTCCCTGCCTTGGAGGTTGGGACAGTAGTCTGGATACATAGCAAAGCGTTTTAGTGAAATAGACTAGAAGCTCTAATATCCATCCAGGTAGGTGCTGCAGATTGGTGTTGAAGGGGAGTCCCGATTACCTGCAAAGCGCTTTGAGTGGAGCGTCCAGAAAAGCACTATACGCAAGGAATTAATATTTGGCAGTAATAGTTTCTGTTCTGCTTTTTTGGTGTCCATTTGATTTAGCTCTTTGTGTATTATACATATCCTTATCCATCAGTGTATCTGGTTGCTTTGCTTGCCTTTTCCCTGTAATGACCAACATGAGGCTTTATTTTAAATGGGGGAACACAAACATTATGCAAAATTACTGTTCTTTCTCTGGATGACTAAGTTTCATTATTTGACAGGTAAACATACTTGTGTATGCTACTTTATTTTCACAACTTTCTGGTATAGTGTGTTTATGGTAAAAGCTTTTTGGTAGTGACAGAGTACTGAATAGAATACTGAGCATCAAAAGAAATATGTCTTGTTAGAAAAGTATTGATGACTGCATAATTCATTAGTGAATTGGTTTGGACAGTTCATGAGGTGATTTAATACATTGAATATCCAGTCGGGAGCAAATGCAAAAATCAAAATTTGAAAGGAAGGCAGTATGCCACACTTAACACTTGCTGTCCATACACTGTGTCAGGAGGTGGACTTGCCAGTAGTGGAGCCAGTTTGTTAGTGATGAAGCAATGTTTTGCGTAGACCTCACTGAGGGATTTCCATTGTGCTCGTCCGCAATACAGTAACCATGTGGAACAGACGAACAGTGAGGTCCGGCACGATTTGTTTAGTTAAAGCATTCAATAGGTAGTGATGCATTGATCAAATTCTGGAATCTAATTTAATACCCTTCCACAGGGCTATTCCCAATATAACATTCAAGCAAGACAGTGGAGGTATTGGTACCGTTTATAGAACAGTCTTATCTCAGTTTGTTACAATTGTCCTGGATGCCCCTCTTGGCAGGTATTGAGTCCTTGGCATTGAGTCCTAGTTGTCATCCCAGTGTTCAGATCATGGAGGTCCTGCAAGACAAATGGTACAGAAGAGAATGGTATCTACAACCTGGCACAAAGCATGTTCTAGATGGACACCATTGGAAGCACTACAAGCTGTACATAAATTTTACTAGACTGTGGTTTTCACAGTAGACCCCTGTTCATCAATCCTGTTGACAAATGTGAATCGGCTTTGTGAATTAACCCACATCATGCTCATTCTATAAAGTGTTATTCTTCCTGCGACAGGACGGTTTTCCTGATTTAGTACTTTTTACTTTCTTTTGATGCTCTATCTCCTTAGGTTCTACAGGTTGACTTGAGATTAATACAATAGCTATAGGCAGCTGGACAAACAAGATGGGCTTTTTGGATAAATTTTCTTCTGTCAAATCCACAGTTTACCAGTCTTGTCACCCCCTTAATCACTGTACTCAACTGATTTTTTTTTTTCTTGTGATACTGAAGGTGTATTATGTTGACCATGGATTTTTTGAAATAATCAACAAAAGCAAACTGCTGGAACTAGATGAAAGGTTTTATACCTTACCTTTTCAAGCTACAAAATGTAAACTAGCAGGTAAGTTCCATTTGTCCTAAGATTCATGTTTTAGGTGATAAGTCATTATGGTGACCTAAGCACAAGCCCTGCCTTATTTTTTTACATGAGATTTTAAAAGCTACATTTTCCAAAATCTTCGTAACTTAAGACAGATCAGCTGAATTATGTGCTATTTTGATCCTGTTTAATTAGAGCATTCTTGGAACTTCCAAGTTTAATTCTTGATGCATATGAATAATGAATAAATTGGTTAAATTTAATGTATTCATTGGATAAATTAAGTTAATGAAATTTACGAGTTTGTAACTTAACAGGAAGTTCCATTTCAGTTTGACGTGACATTAGTCATTTATTTTTCTACTTCCATAAGACTGGTTACAAGAAACTACCCAAAATCAGGAAACCAAAGAGTCTCGTCTCTAAATACAGACCAGCACACAATCAATAACAAATATGGGAAAATTCAATTATCAAGGGACGAGTTAAGAGTCAATTTTCTAACGTTAAAAAAATCCTCATACCTGTCAATCCTGATGAACACTTCCAGATACACTCAGCACTGCCCGTGTTGCTTTGGGGTTTATGAGTTCCAGGAATCCACAGCAGAAAAAAATAGGGTATTTACACCATTTCATGAATCTTGTATAGATCAGCTTGCCAAAACTGATCAGAAACATGCACTTGTGACATGATATAAAATAACATAAAAAAGTTTTCAGGTTTTGCATTTCTGACCATGTATCCATTCTTTAAACTTTTCTCATCTTGGTACTTAAATGTCAACCAATATTTCTAGGACTTGAGCCATTCTCTCAGGAAGCTGCGATCTTAAAGTGCTTGGAGTCCATAGCCTGTGGCAAGATCCTTTTGGCTGAAATCTTAGAGAGAGAGGAGGTGCCCCTTGTTGTTCTCTATGACACATCCCAGGATGATGATGTTAACATTAATACATCATGCTTGAAGGCCTTGCAGGACAAATCTCTGGAGAACAGTCTAAAGGTACTTTTACCAGCTGCTGATGACCCAATGTGAAATGTCACTTAGGTGATGTATTTGTTGTTGAAAGAAATATACTGTGTAGCTCAAATTCCATTCCCTGCAGCCTTTCTCCAGTGGAGTCAAGATTAAATGAATATATGTAGGAATTGTTCAAAGGTGATTTTAACTCTTGACATTTGCCAGTTTCTTTTAAGAGTTTCAAGTTGGAAAGCTATTTTTACATTCAATGTAGTTTGAAAGTATTACTTTACTGCATCAGTATTAGCATTTCCAAACAATCTACCTTTCCTAGCAGTGCTCTGGTTATACCATTTATTGTAATTGATCATTTATTCAACTTCTAGTAAAACTGCAAGTGTCCTCTTCTGAACTGAACATGTTGGACATTTTATTAAAATAATAAAGTAAGGGTTACTTAGAAGACCTTACTCTGCCCATCTTGGTTGTCCTATGTGTAAAGTCCTGGCAAAAGTGCTAGGAAAGATTTAGATTCTTTTGTATAAATGTGCATGTTATACTCCCTCTAGAAATGGAGCTTGCAGTGTGTGAATAAGACATCTTAACCCAGTTTGATGTGTACACAAATGTTTGATTATTTTATCTTCATTTTTATCAAGTGCTGTTCTCAAATTAAAAATATCCAGGAAGAACGGAGTAAACCATTGCTTGTGAATCTACCGATTTTACAGGTTTTGCTTCATGTTTTTTTTTACAGGTCAACAGTGTGTATATGAATGTTGCTGTGACAAACATTTGTTCTGATGGAACCATTTACTGCCAGTTACCTTGCCGAGGTCAAACCAAACTAAGTGAAGTGCTGGAGAAAGTGGAGAAATACTTCCACTCCAAGGTAACTACTGGGTTTAAAATTGCTATAGTATTTTTACTATAGCTTGTTAACATAACAGATGTTTTTAAAAGTAGTGGAACTGCACATAATTACCAGGTTCTGTCTTTAAACTTATTTTCCTAACTGATTTAGAATGGGCTCCAGGTGATTTTCATGTCTTGGCTCATGGCTTTTGTACCTTGTGAATAGAAATGAGTGTAGAAGAATAAAGCATTGGTAGACTTCTTTGTCCAACACCTTTAAGTCATTCGCTTAATGCATCATAGACAACACATCCCTATACCAGGGATTCTGTGCCAATTAACTTGTGGTGCAGTCATTAAGTCGCATGCCACAAGTGTACAGGAGGTCACAGGAGAGCACACTGGCTGATAAATCCCATCATATCTTGCCCTAGGTGGGAGCTCAGCCAGTGTCACTGCCTGGGGAATCCCAGTTACAGACAACTAGTGATCTGACCCAGGCTTGGTGCTACGTCATGTCACTAATCATAAAGCTCATATTTGCAGTATGTTCAAGCGAGTGCCTTCATTTTAGCTGCTCAGGAACACCATAAAGGTTTGTTTTGAAACTACTTTCTTATCCAGTACTGAAAAACATACTTTATAGCTTATTTGTTTATACTTTAATATCTGCCAACCATGGGAAATGAGAGGATGAATAATGAAATACACTGGATAGGCATTGTTGTTGTTTTCACACAATTACACTGAATGAAAGTGGTTTATGGTTTTGTTACTTTGTTCTATTAGTAGCACTGTAATAAACTTAGTTTCAATATACTGTTCAGTACTTTATTAATAAAACTAATTCAGGCAAATAGGATTGTAAATTATGTAACATGGTATTAAACTATGAAGTTCCTAGCATTAGCTTGCCTTTGACTCCTCTAGAATGCTTTTCAGCCACAACTAAAAATGTAACAGTGCTAACATGCAATGTACACTTTTTCAGACAATATGCATGTAAGAGAAGATGCACACATGAGGCAATGTGAAACAAGACTGAGGCCGTAGTTAGATTGTTTGATGTAAATATTTGAAGATCAAACTAGGCAAACATGTTGCATTGTCTGTGCTGTATAATAGATATTTACAGCAAGAGGCACTGAAAACGCTAACAACAAAGGATTCAAGCTGGATAGATCCAGACATTTTCCTGGGTAGTAAAGGATGGCATAATTCGGCTACCAACAGTGATCCGTATTGGTACACATGGTAGTCTTACCAATACAGCTACATATACTAGTACATGCTTTAGTGTTAAGGAATGGTTGACCGCAATAAGTGAGTTTGGATCAATAAGAATGTACAGAAAAGTGTGGTCGATTTTATATTTATTGGAGTATCCTTATGGACAGCTGGAAGCAAGACCAGAAAAAGATGTTGGTTATGCAGGTTATAAAATGATACAAAAGGTGTGGTAATACAGCTACAATAAAGCTAAAGGTGTTAATGTATTTTAAGCAATATATGCCTGACACTTGAGGTGTCATGAAGTTTTTATGCAATTTATAGTTGGCAGAAAATGTGGGATGTAGTGCGCCTCAGCTATTTTTGGATCAAGTGTGGTATGGTGAATCTCAGGCTTGCTCCATTGTCTTGACCTGTAGTGAGGTCAGATGGAGATTATGTTCCAGTATATCCTAACACCCGATTATGCAAATTAAAAACAAAAAACACAATCACCCCGACCAAGAAGCACACAGAGCCACTCAAGATTATAAGTCTTTTTCTTTTTTGTCAATGCAAACTGCCCTAGGAAATAGAAAATACATTTTTAACAAGGGGTATTGCTGGGGTATTTTGCCACTAAAAGACAGTCATGCTGGGTTTTGGAAGTTAAGAATTGTAAAGATGTTTAAGTGGGAGAGGAAGGTTTCTGATTTAAAACCTATGTTTCTTAAAATATCCTAGAAAAGAGGTACCTCGTTCACTTGTCTGGCATAAACACAAGGCACTTATTACACGTGGTCCCTGCTATATGTCATTTTGCAATAAAGTTAACCTAAAAGTTCCCCACACTTTCATCCTTTTTCAAGGTACTGAAAGCCAGCACCATGGGTGGCTTGTTGATCATTTTGTGCTCTTCCTGAAATGAACAAGTTCTTGTGATTATGAATTATGCCACGACATGAATGTTTGTACCACTACACAATATGTTGCTGAGATTTTGGAATTTGTTGGTTTTGACAAGACCACAATTCAAAAAGGGCTGGATGGGTTTTAGGTATATGCCGGTTTGAACTGTAATCAGCTTGGGATGTTCCCAACACGTTCTTCATGGACATTAATTCCCCTTTCCAAGTCATTCTGCAGTAAATTGCATTATTTGAGAAACATAACCTGGGATTATAATGGGACCCTCTGTACTGTATTTGTTGCTTCTAGTGGGCACACTTCTAAAATATTCTATAGTCTACTGACTTATGGGTGGGGGGGGGGATCTCTTTCCTTGTCATATGGGCAAAGGTTACACACTTAGTCCCTAATGAATATCGGAGACCTCCTGTGCTTGTTGTTTTCAGCCAAAGATTAGATCATTCAGAGCACCATTCCTGTATTTTAAGCATGAGTATGGTCCACTTCGGTTATAATAGTGAAGTAAATGTGCCATTAACACAAATTCCAGCAGTATTTTAAGGGTATGATTAAACTTGGCACAGATTGAGATAATAGTACAGTCAGCTTACTTTGGGGTTTGGTATTTGCTTAGAAGTGAGTACTGGCTGAAGCAGTATTTAATTTAAAATATAGGAAACCAAACTTTAGGGGTCTCTCTAAACTTTTTTCTGTGTATACAGTAAGTAAACATTTGAATTTAAGTAATTAAGCTCCATGATTATTGCAGAATCTGCCTTTATAGTAGTAGTTTTCAATTCTAGTCTTCAAGGGACCTTATGGTCTTCTGGCTTTCATGAAGATGAAGCAGGATATTTTCAGAAACCTAGTTCTGTGTAGAGAATTGCCTAAAGTCTTCAGTTGGTAAGCTTAGTTGTGAGAGAAATGCATGTTCCCCAATGACTAGGATTATAATTCCCTTCATTATGGTGTTTTTATTACGGTTTAATCATCTGTACTGTGACGGCCAACTTTCAAGGAAAAGGTAGGAAGCTTCAAGCAAAAGCAGTAACAATTTATATTGACAGATTTCATCAGAGGCCTTGGTCTCCAAACCCTTCTGTGGCAAATGGTGCTTGGCCCGATATAAAGGAAAGTGGTCTCGAGTGGAGGTGAGCTCTTTATTCATTGAGTAACTCAAATCATTACCAAAGCAGATTAGCTTTTTGGGGGGTGCCAGCAACAAGCTTTTGTCCCCAAAAGAGTCATCCAAGAATTAAAAGAAAAAAAGGGCAAAGATTTATTTTATGCCAGGCTTAGTCCTCTTCAACAGCAAATTAAAGTTTTAAAAAGGTGTGGCACAACTATTCTCAAAACATGTGCATCACACATCAGTCTTTCAGGAAAGACCTGATTCCATTGGTGCCCTTTTTATGTAGGTGTAGCTATAAATAAATGTGATGTTCTAGAACTAGCTTCCAAATTAAGTAAGAATTTGAGAACAGTATTTTTTAAGTAACCATAACACTTAAGGCTGATACAGTTTAATGATCTTTTCGGTACTGTGGAAGTGCCCATTATATATTTGGTCATACTGGTTATGTTAGGCATCATGGGCAGAATGTAGATAAGAAACCAATACCTGGTTACCTTCCATGTCAGGTGTGCTAAATGTTTTCACCTTTTTAGATCACAAATCTGCATGGTAGCCGTGTACTGGACATCCAGTTTCTGGATCTGGGAGTTCCTGCATCGGTTGAGGTGATTGAACTCCGGGAAATCCCACCTCCTTTCCTCCGGGAGCTTGTGACAATTCCTCCACAGGTCAGCCATGAAAAGTTTAAGTGCAGACAAAAAGCTATTTAATTCTGCATTCAGAGCGAACTTGAATAAAACTTCCCTTTTCTGTTTCTCTTTAATACAAGTACTAATGATTTACTGCTCTATCATGAAAACTTGTACTTTTACAGTAGGTAAAGTGCCAACTTCATTTAGACTAACCCTGTGCATTGTTTTAAATGAACCCAACTTCTTAGCATGGAGAAAAGTGTCTTAAGCAGTGCATGCAAATTTATGAAGATGTAAGAGAATGCAAGGCATAACGCATCACTAAAGCACTCATTTCTACCTTTTTGGTTTTTGCTAAATAAACAACGTAGGTCTCGGATATACAGTATTGAAAATGAAATCTTATTTTATGAAGTCTGCATTGCAATTAACTAATTTCTACATAGCTGTTGATGCCAGTATTGATGGTCATTTACATGACTAAATCTGCCTGGTGGGTTAAATCAACATTGTATATTTGTAAAAGTCCAAGATATGTAGTAACTATAGAACTTTTCTGCTACCATCTTTCATGGGTTTCTGTAAAACTAAGTTTCTCTGCTTTAATGTGTTTTAATTTGGCTTCAGAAGTGTAAATTGAAAATAGACTGTATACAGTACCACATTGGTATAGTTTCTGCCCATGTATGAGCAGTCTTCCAAGAGAGCCACCTGGCATAACCCCCATTATGTTTATTCCAGGCAATGAAGTGCTGTCTGGCTGATCTTCCTGTCAGTGTCCGCTCATGGACCCCTGAAGCAGTTCTGTGGCTCAGAGACAGTGTGTTGAACTGCACCGATTGTAGCATAAAGGCAAGTGTCAGCAGAAAAGTTTAGTTGTGAATTCAAGAGTTTGAAAGTATGTTAGAATAACTGGTGACTTTCAAATCTCAGTTCAAAGTTCTTGTAGACTAAAACTATTATGATTGTTTGCATGAAGCCTGACTATATAAAATACTGTACTTAAGCAAGTGTGCTTGGAGCCTTAAATTAAAATGCTTTTTAGTTCAATTCTTTTTGATATGTTATGCAGTACAGACACTTTATCCTAATATGCCATTTTCAGAGCAGTGCATAGTTGCATTATATGTATTTTTTATTTTTCTCTAGGTAGCCAGAGTGGATGAGTCCAAGGGGTTGATCCATATCTACCTGTTCCCCTCCAAGAATTTTTATGACATGGAGGGTAGCATTAATCAAAAGATTGCCGACTCCAGTCTGTGGAAGCATCAGAAGGATGTGTTCCTCAGCAGCAGCTCTGTGAGCCCAGTTAAGACCAGCTCTGAATCGAGTAGCCCCAGCCCCAAGAAGTCCCAGCCAGAAGCTGGGGACCGCCTAAGCCCCACTTCCTCTCTGCTCCCCCCTCTATTAGAGCTGCCACAGGTGGGGCAGAATTTGGACATCTTTGTGTCGGTGGCCTGCCACCCTGGGCACTTTGTCTTCCAGCCCTGGAAGGATCTATATAAATTGGTGGTCCTGATGGGGGAAATGATCCTGTATTACAACAAAATGGAGGGGAAACCCATTCCTGTTGAAAAGAACCAAATATGTGCAGCCAAAGTGGAAAATAAGTAAGTTGGATAAATGTGGAAATGTTTATCTTCTAGATAGAGATTGATCGATAAGACTTTATTGATCCTGAAGGGAAATTGAGGTGTTACAGCAGTCCATCCCAAGACAAGCAAAAACAGACATCAGAATAGACTAAAAATTTAAAATAAGTACAGCATGTGTGCAAAATGTGGATAGGTATACACTGATTGAAAGTACCATAGTACATTAATGCAGTGTACAAAAAGTATGTTGCAACATGCTGTCCATGGATGAGCAGATGAAGGGCTAACCTCTGTCCTCACCCTGGATGGAAACAATTAGTGATGGCAGTGGTTTGATAATTTCAGGAGTTCTGTGAACAGTATACATGGACCAATTACTTTATTAGGATATATGTAATAGTTTTTAAAACTTAGTATAAAACCTGCAAGTTGGATTTGAACACATTTGAGCATCACCTGATCGGTGTAGAGTCAGTATTAAGCATTGTACTGCTGAATACATTTTTGGTAACATTTTAAGCTTGAGATTAGAGGTCTCCTGCCACAATCCACTGTGGCCACGTACCAAAGATTGGTAACACCTCTAAATTGATAGATTAAGAAAGATCAATTCTTTAAATTAAGATGACAGTTTTAAGAAATGGCTCACCAATTAATCAGTTTATATTCCATAAATCATTGGCTTAACTGATCACAACAAGCGTTTCATATGTTCAGAAATTGAACTGATGGTGACCTGCTCCTGGACCAGGATTGGAGACCCATACCCTAGGCCTACCCTCAGATATGTATTGTCAGCCAATACAGTTACATACAGAAAACATTTTACTTACTTTATTTGTTAAAGTGGAACTACAGTCCCAATTTCTAAGACGGGTTATTAGATCTCAGTAACAAAATAAATTCATTGTTGTAGAATTTTACAAAATGCTTAATTCGCAATCATTAACTTTGTGAAAGTACTGCATTCAAGTTCCCATGAATTGAGATTATCCTGCACTTCCTGCTCACTAGTCACCATAATGAATAATGTAATGTAGGAGCAAATAAGTAGAGGTTATGCAGCATTTGTTCCATGGTCTGCAAGCACAGTTAACGAGTAGGTAGTATTTGTCAGCATAACAGTCTCGAAATCAAGAGCAATATTTCTATTGGATTAAAAATGTGCTCACAAGCTTGCTTGTTCACAATATAATAAGGCTCCAACGTGTCACCAGATGTTTTGTTGCCTTGTTCAGAATCCAACAACATGGTGCTGTGCACATCTGGAAATTCTGTTTTGTGATATAACTTGCAAAACCTCCAATTTACTGTGTACATTTCACTGTTATTGTGAGTTTATTACAGACCATCAATGCTGATGCTTTCTAACCCCAAATATAAATAGCATTGCAGTTCCCTTTTAATCTGCCTCACTTGTGCAGTTTTGTCTTGATGCAGAAGGCTGATCCCTTTTGAAAGTATGCAGCGCTTTTAAAAAAAAAATACAAATCATACAGCTGTTCTTGCTCTTGCTTCAGGATTTAGCTTAACCTTTTGCACTTTGTGTTGAATTGTTAATTCTTTCTCACCCCTGAGCTTCCATAACCAACCTGTTTAAGTGCAGTGTGACTTGAATTAAAACCACCCACAATTCATTGTTCTCATCTACAGACTGCAGATTTCATTACTATTAAGTTTTGGATTTAAGCACACTAGAATTACAAGCTGATAAAGCTTGTTAATTTTTTTTACCACTTTTCAATTCTGGCCATCTTCATATAAGATCTTTCAAGGCGGAATGCAGTGAAAATTGTGGCCATTAAACTGTTACTCAGTATGTTAGTTCCTTCTTTTATTACTTTCACAGGATAGCAGTTAATCTTTAACTGTATCCACTTCAGTAATTACACTCCTGTACATAGTTCAGGAGATAAGTGATTCCATTGTGATTGCAGTTGGAATCATGTTTCAGTGAGCACAGTTTGAAAGGCTTTTCTCCATCCGTAGAGACCTAACATTATTTCCAATACAAGGACTTTAGCAGTATCCAGTCTTGTTTTTTTTTAATGGGATAAACCTGTTTTGTTTATGCCACTCACAAAAAAAATCGGTTAATAAAAAGTGTACTTTTTACTGGTAATGTATACATTTATAGTTTAGAAAAGACCAGACTGAATTTACAAGACCCATGGATAACCTAGTAAATTTAGTCAAATGAGTTTAAAGCTCCCAAATGCTTTTTGTTTTCCAGTTGGCACCGTGTGCTTGTCAAGGGGATCCTGACTAATGGGCTTGTATCGGTATATGAGCTTGACTACGGGAAGCATGAGCTGGTGAGCTGCACAGTGCTCCAGCCCTTGATCGAAGAGTTCAGACAGCTTCCCTTTCAGGGGGTCAGAGCTCAGCTGGCAGGTAAAAGCAGGAGGGTGTGGCCAGTATCTGCTCTCAGTGTTCTTCCAGGGCAATAATTGTGGTGTTGTTTCCCTGGTGCCTTTTGTTACTTTGAAATGGCACATTGTACAAATGGCTTAACGCCGAGTTTTGCTTCTCGCACAAATACACTGATTTTTACATTTTATGCAGACTGCAGTATATACATGATTACTCTTGATTTACTGGACATTCGACCTAATCACCCACTGTGAGACTTTATCATCCAGTCTAGTTTAAGATGAATAGCTAACAAAATCTCATAGTATGATTGGAAGATGCTTATATTGTTTTAGATTAAAAAAACACCTAGGTATCCGTCTTCTTGCATTCTAAGTAATGGCTGTCAGATTTTTGTAGTGATGTGTACAATTATAAAATCTAATACATTTCTTCATAATTTAAACCACTAACCTCCTAAATTGTCCCAAAATTGTAAATATTTCTTAATTTTTTTATATTCTAACTTTTCTTACATGCTGAATGTGCAACAGTGTAAAGCTGTCATTTGATTGAGGTATGATAATCACTTTCAGCTTTGGCATCATAGGTCTTCTCTAGTATTTTAATAGTAAACCTATGACCATTCTTTGTGAATTACCAAGATAGACTTGAACCGTTATTCTGACAGCAGAAACATTGAATCAGATGCTCCAATAAATTCCTTGCTGAGTAAATTGGTCTCTAGTCAGTCACTGTAAATGAGAATTCCTCAACTGGCTAATCTAGTAAAATACTGCATCTCCAGTATACAAAAGTATGCCCTCTAGTGATGAGAATATTGTAGTACAAAGTTATAGTAAATAGAAACACCAGGTTAAGATGCTTCAGATGAAGGTGGAGAATAAAACTGCAATGAAACTCATTTTATGGAGACTGGAACAGTGAACATCCAAAATCATTTGGGTCTAACTGTGCCATTACTTAACCCCCATTCCATGTTTTAAAGTGTGTGATTTGTGGTTAAAATAACATTTATAGATAATTTCTTGCCTAATGGAAACCAGGGCATGTAGTAAATAGTGCTTGACTGTTTATCAATTTTTTTTCTATTACAGGAGTGAAGGAGAGGCAATGGTCAGAGGAGGTTTCCATTGTTTTTCGAAACCATGTGGAGAAAAAGCCCTTGGTAGCTCAGATAGAGGCTATCCATGAGGGCGCCAACCCCTGGGAGAGGAGAGTGGTGGTCTATCTAGTGGACACGGCACATGAAGAAAAGGATGTCTGGGTGCACGACCTCATGTCCGAGTTTGCTGAGGAACTTACAAAAGCTGCATAGTGTCATTGGCAAACCTGGAAAGAGTCTGCTTTTGTGTTAGATCCTAAATGGGCTTATAAAACCTTGTGAGTCGAGAGTTCTGTAGATCATAATGTACTGCACAAGGTGAAAGGTCTTAATGATCTATTATTCACATGCTCTTGACGTATGCGTTTTAAATGTTTGATCATGAAACAGCAACTTTGTTGCTGAACTACAATGAAGTCATGAGGACAACAGCTGCTTAACCTGCTCTAATTTGCAGGGTTCCTGTAGGTTTTAGAAGCATGTTTGAATTGCAAAATACAGCTGATCGAGTGACTTATCCACTTTATTGGTTCAGTCAAGTCATTTCATTCCATCTCATCCCAGAATCAAACTTCATATTGTGGGACCAGGGCTACCTACCTGCTCTAGACAAGATTTCAAAAGGTTTTCTAAGCCCACAGACCAAATGTTCAGTTGCCTGGCTCTCCTAAAATATTTTAAATACTAAGGGGACTAAATCGTCTTAAACAGCAATAATTAAAAGTTTACAGAGTTCTGCATAATTACATGCAAGGTTTTGCAGTTATCCAGAAACATTAATTTCTTCACTGTAATCCACATTTTTGGTCCTTTGTTTTATTTAACTTAGAGTAGCAATTTATTTTCACTTTAAATTTATTTGGACATTTTATGGAGTTGCTGCACCTTTAAGGAAGGTATTTTGAATTTCGCAGGTTTGTGCACAGTGTTTACATGTTTAACTAAAATAAGTTTGATTTTTTTTCTCATAGAAATTTGAGCAGTGATGTGACAATGGCTGCGTTCTATCCTAATGTAGGAAATGTCTTGACCAAGTTGGCTATTTGCTGTATAATCTTGTGTAAGATTACTTTATTTGCAAATGTCTGGTCAAAAGTGCAGATGCAGAGTATAATAAAGTTAATTAAGGGAGAGGTGTGCTGCATTTTACTTTATAAAGGTTTAATAGTATTGTTTTTGTCTATAGTAGTTTTGAATATTGGTTGTGCAATTTTTCCATGATAATGGAAAACCAGCTATTACTAATGAATGTTCCTCAGCTGAAAATGAGTTTGATCCCAAAAACTAAAGTAGTGTATAAGTCAAGAGTGTTTCCTCTTGGAACAACTAAAAGCTCTCATTTAAGAACTTTAAACCACTGAGGCAGAAATGGAGTGCATTTCAGAAACTAGTGAGATTCACTCTTTAACAAGGCTTATTTTGGTTGAGAGTGTTGATATACCAACTGTGTTAAAGTGTACAGATGTATCTCTGGATATAAGCGTCAATATAGCTAATGAGTAACATCTGCAGTAATTTTTTTGACTGCACATCTTTTGCCGATACTTTGATTCATGAAGATATACTATGTGTAGATGTATTTATACACTGGAGGCAATAGACCAAAACATATCCTTTAAGTTAAGAACTGGATAATTTCCTACTTTATGCTAGTTATACTGTGCTCATAACTTGCACAAAGTAATTTCTTGTAAAACAATGTAATGTTAGTGTTTTCTGGATATTTACACTAAGTTTTTCTTAAAAATAAGACTTTTTGGAAGTGCAGTGGAAGCCTCTAACTATAGAGAGGCCTTCAAAGGTTTCCTTTTTCCCGGTTTTAAAGGATTTAACTCAACATGTCCACTAGTTGCATGGACCTTGCTTCTTGAGAAAATGCTTAAACCCACTGTGAAGTATGGTTGTTTTGTATGTGTGCAGTCCTGGAGCCCTGGTTTAGATGGGGGAGGGAATCGTACCAAGAAGCTCAAGCTTGGCTGGGGTTTCACCACCCATGTGCTATTGCCCATGCACTTCTAAATTCAGTCATTTAATTGACCCCATGCTAATTGCTGTAATACTAATTACCCCATCACTATAAGAACCATCTTTACTCTCTGCCACATGTTTATCTCCTTTAGATTTGATGGTTAGAAACCATATTTTCTGTAAAATTTGAAATTACAATTAATCAAAGTGTTAATTGTAGATTAAGTATATTTGATAGTGACTAGAAAAAAGTTTTGGAAATGTAAATTATGCCTGCAAAAATGTTTTTTTTTTGTTTTGGGGGGGAAACTGCTGACTCCCGGATGAGTGAACTGTTGTGTATTTTCTCATTAAGAAGACTATCTCCATTAAAATGTCTAAATCGAAAGCAATATATTGGATTAAGTGTATTAACAAGCATGCTCCTTTACAATGTAATAGGGCCGCTTCACGTCAGCATTTTGTTGCCTCGTTCTGAATTGCAGACCGTTGCTGTGCATACATGGACATTCTTTTATGCTGTAAATTGGTAGTTTTATAACTACGTTTGACTGTTGCTGTGGTTTGAAATAATGCACTCATCAATGCCAAATCTTTCTAACCCTAAAATATAAAAATAGCATTGCAGTTCACTTTTAATGTTGTAACAGCCTACACTCGATCAAGTATACCCTTTAAATATTAGCCAATAGGTTGTGCCCATGGAAGTGTGAAATTCTAAATCATTTAAAACTTTCCCAACAGTTATGCCTGATATTGCTATTTACAACAAGAACTCATATGGTGGCCTCTAGTGGCAGGTATAAAAACCTGCAACCCTAAGGGGATCTGCCACAAAAGCAGTTACTAAAACAGATGAGATTGCATATCCTACTAGGCTGCTACTAGACCTAGGTTTAGGAACACTTGCTCTAACCTCTCTTCAGCTGAACAGAACACAAGCTAGATGATGTACTCCCCATACAGATCATTTGCCTTATACTGCTCGTCTCTCCTTTCATTAACACTCCCCTGCACTGCTTCACTGACAACCAAGAGATCCTGGAACCACTAGACATGCTTCCACAGCAGTATGCTGAAGGCTAATTTTAGGTTGGCATGTTGAAGTCTGACGTGTGAGGGCTTGCCCAATCAGGGTAAGAAACCAATAATGTAATGCAGGTTACCACCCCAAGGTGCAAGGAAAGTAACTGTTGTTACAACCTTGATCATCAGAACATAAATTTAGACCACTCATTACTTCAGAAATCAAGTTGAGTTTTAACAATGCATCCATTCCCTGAGTTAGTATGGGCTCTGACTTCCACTTCTTTACTGTACATAACCCAGCTTACTGTAGGAAGGAGGATGCCACTCTTAATCATTCAGTGAGCACACAGAGAATTCCCATTAATATTTAAATTCATTTTAAATGTAAGTTACATGTTATTTTAATTCCAAGGTTTTAAAACTTTTTCCCCCCTCTCGAAGCAAAAAATTATAGTAAATGCAACACTGGAGAGAGAATTGTCTTTTAACAAATGTATAAATTTGTACTTTTAAAAACGTACTAAATGTATAAACTGTACATTTCATTACATTTTACTATACAGTAATACACAGTAAAAAAAAAAACTTCAGTGCTTCCCTGACATAATGGCAAATAAAGCTTATGGTTTTGAGTGGGGAAAAAGCATGATGATACACAGTCTGAGCATCAAACAGATATGGGAGGCTTTGCATAAAGTTTCATTTGAGCTGTTGAGTCTTGCGTAACACAGGGAGCGGTTATATACTGTAGAAATTTTGTGGGGCAGGTGTGTATCTTGCATATTAACACCCTTCAAATATTTTACTGCAGTAAAAATGTAATGCGCTTAATTTCTTGTTACTTGTAGCCCATGGCAGTCATTGGCCTGTGCAACAAACTCATCTGGTAAAGAAGTCCAGTACATAATAATGTCCAAGATAGAATGAGAACCAGAAAGACAATGCAGCAGCTGAGGATCAGGGCTGTCTAGCTTTGCACTCCCAGGTGTTCGGATTGAAGTCAAGATGGGAAATGCACTTGTGTGGAAATCCTCACACATCTATATTTACAGAGACAACATGGCCAGGGAATCTGAGGTGCTGATTTTGGCTTTAGAATTGCACCTGAAATGTCTGAAGATCTAAGTCATAAACCATGCTGTAGAGATGAGGTCAGGGACTGGAAAAGACCAGTAGATTGCTGATAAGTTCACTTAATGACTACACTTGTGTTGGAGGCTGTGTAACCAAAATCAGTCACAGGTATCGCAAAGCACGGTATGACATCTGGATACTGATTTCAAGCAGAACATTGGAAACCAGGTAGGTAAGCTTGGGAAGGAAGCCTTGAAGTGTGAGGGAACTAATCAGCAGGTCATGGTTATGCCATTTCACCATTTCCAAAAACCTTTTTACCTTATAAGAATATATAGCACATCTGAGTGATCAACAACCCCACTCTGGAGCCATATTTGTGCATCATATTTTGTAGGCTTGTTGGTAGTGTGATTTTTAGTTAGAAGCCATATCACCCTGCAAACTCACAACTGGCAGTCCACTGAAGCTCAGCAAAGGTGCGCTTGGTCAGTACCTGGATGGGAGGCCTCCTGGGAAAAGCTAAGGTTGCTGTTAGTGTTAGTGTGGGCCAGCAGGGGGCACTCAACCTGTGGTCTATGTGGGTCCTAATGCCCCAGTATAGTGACGGGGACACTATACTGTTAAAAGGCACTGTCCTTTGGATGAGATGTAAAACCGAGGTCCTGACTCTCTGTGGTCATTAAAAATCCCAGGGTGCTTCTCGAAAAGAGTAGGGGTATAACCCCGGCATCCTGGCCAAATTTCACATTGGCCCTTACTAGTTGATTGGCTTCATTAGTCTGCTCTCCTCCCCACTGATGGCTGATGTGTGGTGAGTTTTCTGGCGCACTATGGCTGCTGTTGGTGGTGGTGGAGGGGAGTCCCCATTACCTGTTAAGCACTTTGAGTGGAGTGTCGAGAAAAGTTATATATATAAGCTATACTGTAAAAGTGTAAGGAATTATTATTTTTCCCTGGTGGTTGCTTTATTAAAGGCCAGGAGGCTTTTGACCCCCTACCCCAAAAATGGGGAGGAATGTGTTCTTTTCTGCCGTTTTTCATGCCTTGTTTGGTCTTGTCAATGTGTTTCAGCCCCCGTACAACTCGGCAAACAGCTCAGTTCTCTTCTTACCTCGAAGCGCCCAGAGACCTGCGAATATTGACATTATTTGGGTGTTTGACAAACCCCAGGTAGCCACTTCCATAACTAATATTTACACACACACACACACACCTTTTTTCTAATCAAATTACCATTTAAAGTTAGGTTTTAAACCAGGCGCTGCACACCCTATTACAGTTCGTACTTTGTATATATATTTTTAAAGTCCCTCGAATTGATTATTTAAAATTCAGAGACCCCAGATTTTTTGCGGGTTAACGAACATGCAATTTGAGTAATATTTTTTAGCGAACTCGGTGGTTGACATTCCATTAAAAAGCACGGAGAGTTCTCACTAGAACTTTACAGAAATCTTTTCCATTACAAAAAATATATCAATGCACACCATATATCGGCTAACTTCAGTTTATAAACCACAGTTCCAGACATCCCAAGTCTGCCGGAAGTTCCGGAAATC